AATCTCATTGTCAGACGCCTTCTACAACAATTATAATTGTTTGGCAGTGGAGGAGACGTTGTTAGCAATGGGGCGTGGTATCCTGACCCATACCCGCTGTTGGGTCAGTGGGTCAGGGATCCATCTTCATATACCTGTGTGAGAAACCCAGCATCTATAAGACATACAGATCTCTTGACACAGATACTTCCATACTTTAAAGTCATCTCTAGGACACTGAAAAACCTTTTTGTTGGATGTTTTGGAACAATGTACTGCCTAGCCAGCTGCAAGGTCATAAAGCACAAATATACACAAAACAGAATACACTCGGCCTGAACCGAAGTGTTTCCAAAATTGGAAACTCTGAAATTAGTGATAGAATATCAGAAACGTGTCAAAAAGAACTCTGGCTGATTATTTAATTCTATTGAACACATTTAAAGTGTTGAAAACAACTTTTTTTAAAAGACCCCGAGACCACCCTTAACTGTGGGAGCCAACACTGTGTCTCACACAGCAGCCCCCCCCCCCTACATGCACACATCTGTCAGGCCTCGGCTGCAGCCAGACAGGTTGTGGTCTCAAATTTATGGCGTCGATTTGACCAAAGTTTCTCCCTGAATGGAACGAAGGAAAGAGGGAGAGGGTGAGGGGACGAGGTTTGTGGTTCTTTGTTTTTTATCAGGGTGCTGCACAGGCAGGAAACACACACAAACACACACACATGCACAGGTTCATATTTGCATGCATGCACCCACAGACACTCCTTCCTCCCCTTTACACACAAACACACATGTGGACACACACACGCACAGAACACACACACATTGGTATTTTACAGTGACAAGGTGGGTTCTTTTTTGGGTGTAAAAATCAAACAAGATAATAACCAGATTACATGTTATCAAATAAAAAGCGGCTGGGTGCTCCTGTGATCCATCGTCACTTAATGCATCGCTGTAATCTGTGCATCTCCATTTTCTTTGTTTCCATTATGTTTCCAGCTCAGCGTTCGAGCCTGACAGCCGCCACACTAACACCGGGCAGAAAGGGGAACTTCAGGCGCGAGTCGGTTGATATTTAAAACTGCACGCCCGAGATAAATGAACTTCTCAAAAAAAGCTTGTGTTTATTTGAACAGGGAGAGAGAGAGAGGGGTTGGCTTTGATGGGAGAGAAAACAAGGCTGAGTTTAACAGTGATGACCACATTATTAACCATTAACCTTAACTGGCGCATTTGTCTAAAGTGTGTGTTTAGGGTTTACTGGTCAATTGGAAATTCAAATACTCACTTTCATTTTAATTAGGCCTCGGCGCCACACCGAGCCCTCGTACACCTGTGGAGGAGAACATGGAGCAGCCTTTTAGTGACTTTTAATAAAGACAACAACAAAAAAACACCAATATATTAAAACTGCAGTGGAGGCATTTTAATCTTAACAACATACTATAAACTTCCTTTCAAAGCAAAAAAAATATTATTAAGAAACAGATTATATTAAGAAACTGTTTATGTCTCTTTATTGATTAAGAAAGTTATAAAGAATTTGAAAAACTGGAGAGATCTTGGATGATTGATTTTGATTTTTACAAAACAATTTTTTACAGTGTAACTTGTAGCCAACAAAAATTGAAAGGAAAATTCACTATTTATTAAAGTTTAGTCGTTTCTCAGAAAGAATATTTACCTGTGCATAAGGTTAGGATCTCGATAAACAAAAAAAGTAAAAATAAAACAAAAAACCTGATGCATGACTGGTAGTATCAGCATCACTATGTCTTTCTTGGACAGATGTGGAAGTGTTTTTTTTTTTTTTTTGTCTTGCTGCTTTTTCTACAAATATTTAATCTGCTAGCTAATCAACACCAAATGCATACGTGCCTCTAATTGAGACCGGCCTTTATTTGTCAAAACCTGCAGCTACACCAGGCTATTAAAAGGGACTGGGCCTGAAATTGGGGGTGGTCTTTTATTTGCAGTTTTACAGTAAAATAAACATTAATGCATTTTCATTTCACAGTGACCAGAGTTGAACGTTCTATGATTTATTGTAAGCTTGTGGTTTCAGTTGTTTGGGATTCTTATTGTAGCCCAGCCACAGGCTCTTATCATACCGACTCCTCATGCAAATGTTCACTTATTAACTTTTTTTATTATTCAAGAAAACAATGGACCCGTGGGTGTAAATTTTCCAGCTGCTCTATAGGCTCACATTTCAAACTACAGAAAAGCTTATTACTGAACAGCACAGATAATAAACGTGTATGTTTGATTCATGTCTCGCCAAGAATGCAAATTCCCAGGTCAGACAGATAATTGTTAATATTCCTGGGTGGAAGGTGCCATAAAAAAAAACAAAAAAAGGTTTTTGTTGTCCGCAGATTGTGATCTGAACCCTGAGAGGAGAGAGTGATGATCAGATGTGTATCTGATCCGTGTTTCCAGAAAAGAAGAAGTGACTTTTAAATGACCGGCCTCTCTTACCTGTTGATGAGGCTGCAGGGGTAGAGGGGAGGTCTGACATGTATATATACCTGTCCAAATACTGCACACCTGCACCACAGTGACACCTAGACAGTCCTAAGACCGGCCTCGACTTGGGGAAACAATCACGCTAACAAGATGGTGAGTTTGAAGGATGCTTACAAGTAGACCCGTGCAGTTTCATCATCTAATGCTCTTAAATTTAAACATATTTGAAGGGAAAATACACAATGTTTTTTGACTTTTTATGAATGAAATTAACGTGATTTTTAATATTTTAAAGACCTCCTTGGACGGCGACATTAACCAACACTTTCAGGATGCAATCGATGTGATTCAACAGCATTCAAATAATTCATACTACGACTCAGGTATGGTCAAAATATCTCTTTACATGTAAAAAATGCAAAACTTCTATTACATGTTACACATTACATTACATTCACCAGGTGAATTAATCAGAATTGATAGACCGTTTCACTTGACTTCATTCATCTATTTCTTGATTGTCTTTTCAGAGTACACATATTATGAGACTTTGGGTTCCCAGCAGACATCGCTGCAGTGTCAGATCTCCTCTTATGAATGGAACGACACGGCTGTAAGTAATGAAAATATATAAAATAATACGGACATTATTTATTATGAACGTTTGCAATTGAAAGCACGTTTGATTCCAATCAAAGCTTCGTATTAGTTTGAGAACAGATGATGTTCTGCTTTGAGAGACAAACTGGTGATGTAGTGATTCATGACAAATACAAAAGAAAGTAAGAGTGAATTAACTATTGATCAGCTGCTGTTATATAAAATAAATTAAGGGGATTAAATCAAATCTTAAATATGTCCAATTGTATTTATCCCTTACTGTTAAATTATGACGTTAAAAAGGTTCACTACAATTTTTCCGTCATGGTGTTTGATTTGAAATAAAGTTTCCTGGTTGATGTCGTTATCTTCATAGTTTTTTAAGGATTATATGTATATGCTCTGTGTGGTTTACTACATGTTTGGTTTTAAATATCTGTCAATTAAAACATCATTCAACTTTTTTTTTTTTTTTTTTTGTATTTAACTTTATGCACTGTAAAAACATAGTTAGTTGTTTTAACTTATAATTAATTGTCAGTTAAATTAAATGTTAATGTGAAGGTTGTTATAACTCAATGTTTTGTGTTTATGTCATCTCAGGAGTTTCAACTTGTAAAAATTATTAAGTTCAAATTAAGAAAATGAGTCAAAATGATACTGGGTGACTTTATATGAAGTGGTCACCGCTGTCGCCTCACAACTAGAAGGTGTGCTGATGAAACAACCTGTTAAATATTTCTCTAATATTTCTCTTCCACCAGCACTCTTGGCCTCCGGTCATGCCTGACGTCTCCGTGGGTCACTCTGTGCAGAATGAAATCCCTCAGTTCTACTCGGTTTTACCGCCGCAGAAGAGCAGCAAAGGTTTGTAGATTTTTTTTTTTTTTTTAGTGTACTTGTTACATTTTCAATCCATTTTTTGTCTTCATCGCTAAAACAAAACGGATTATTATTTCCTCAGGCCGTAAAAAGCTCAGACTCTACGAGTACCTCCACGAGGCTCTGAACGACCCCAACATGGGCGACTCCATCCAGTGGACGGACAGCGGCAGCGGCACCTTCCACTTCATCTCCAAGAACAAGGAGAAGCTGGCCGAGTGCTGGGGCCAGCGCAAGGGCAACCGCAAGACCATGACCTACCAGAAGATGGCCAGAGCTCTGAGAAACTACAGCCGCACCGGGGAGATCATGAAAGTGAGACGCAAACTGACGTACCAGTTCAACCCGGACATCCTGCACCGGCTCGGCTCCACACAGGTGACCATGCACCTGCCGGGCCACCTGGTGCAAGAGGAGGTCAGCACGTGGCAGCAGAGTCAGGCCGAGCAGAGCTTCTGTGGGCCGGCTGTGGTGGAGAGGCACAGGCACAGCTGTTTCAGACACTTCCAGTTGCAGGAAGACTACAACCTGGCCTCCAGCTTCACCTCACACAGCATCACCCATCTCTGAGCTGCACCACGGTTTGTCCACAACTTCAGGACTGACATTATTCTGCTTCCAAACGTTCAGGGTCCGTATTCCGTCCCTGCGTGTTAACAAGTGTGTCAATGATTTTGCTCCGTTTAATTCAACATTTTGTGTTCCTCAAAGAGAAGTTTACTGTAGAGGATTAAAGCAGAGCTACTGTAAGAGACTTCATGAAGCTGATGAGGAAATATGTTTTTTTTTTTTTTACATATTTGTGAACCCACATTACCAAAAATATCAAACAAAGTGTCAACTTTAAAAGTCTTATTTCAAGCACTGATTACAGTTCCAGTTCATATCTAAGAGTTAACGTTAAGTAGGATTTCAGATTAAATTCAACATTCACTCAGGAATGGACATAACTACTAATTCAGTCACAAAATGTTAATGATCTTTTTTATGTATTTTTTTACAGTGTAACATTCTCTTCACTTTGAGGAAAATGTCTGTAAATAAACTGTAAATACTTGTAAACAATAAAAATGGTGGAAAAAAATTCTGTTTTTTAATCAAGAATCATTGTTTCGTTTATGTTTATTTCAGAATTTCTTTATAATTTTGAAATGATATACTTGTTTTCTTAGATTAACCCCGTAATGTTAAATGATATAACGTTTCAATCAGTACATTTACATCACGATAAAAAAGAAGTTAGTCGACCATGTTTTCAATGCTTGACATAAAAACAATTTGCCGGATGAAGGTCCAATAGGACCTAGTCGAAAGGAGGCCTTTTGTCACCCACCGTGGGAAAGACAGCTTTTAGATTTTCTTTGGTTTGGAAAAACAATCTATAGTCTGATTTTAAACTGCAAAACTTAGTCTGAATGTTTTTAAAATCCTGAGTGAAAAGTCTTGAATCCAAACTCTGTTTGCAGCTGTTGATTTTATTATTGTTCTTCTTTTTATTAAATGTGTACTGTGTGAGTTTGAGTTTCTGATCTCAATGGGAACAACCTGGATATATAAAGGTTAATAATAATAACAAAAACCCCGTACACATTATTAGATTTACCACTAAATGTTAAAACATAGGAGATAAAAACGCTTCACTGAAAATGTAGAAATAATACATTTACTTTTATCTGAGAAGGAAATAAATCATATTTTAAAACTTTAAGAACAATGTCTATTTAAAGGTTGTCTATGCGTCCTGTCACTACAGAGAGCTCCTCATATATGAATAATTCACTTGATGAAAAGTGATGTCTGTATTCTTATGTATTACTTGTGTCTCAATCTAACTCTAATCTAACGTTACCTTATTGCAATGTGAAGACTGTGTTGTAAGATTTGGCACCGTCTCCGTTGTAATGAAATATTACAAGAAGCCCACTTTAAAAAATCTGAAATTTAAGACACATCCTGTGAGGAAAAATATGGCAGTAAGAGTGTTTTTCCTGAAGAGAGAGCGTTCTGTAGCAGCTGCCTCCAGGCCAGCTCTTATCTGCTGCAGCGGGGAGGATGTGGTCAGTTGCTGGGACACTTTGTTGATGGGTTGACTGGTTGCTGGTGTCGGGGCTCTGTGGGATGGAGGTCATTGTTCCTGTGAGCCCCCGGAGTAAAAAAAAAAAAAAAAACGCCGGGTGTTATGTAGAAAGCCCGTCCTGTCGGGGGGGGGTGAGGATGTATAATAAGAGCGTGGGGACTTTAGCGTCTCAAAGTCAGTTTTGTGAAATTCTCCCAAACTGGACGGACTCAAGAATCATACATGATGGTAACCACAATAATGGCATGAGAAACTCTGCAAACATTTACATTCCAAGCCTGATTTTGAATTATTTTCCTTCATCAGGATTCCTACCCGGACACTCATTCTGATTTGGAGGTGATCTTAGAGTTCCTCGAGGAGTACTACAGACAAAATGCTGGAGAAATCGGTAAGAGGAAAGCCTTGGAATTCAACCTAAAGCAACCAAGTTTAAAAAAAATAAATTATTTCAGCGTCTTTGCAATGTTTTGGCTTGTTTCAGCGAGCAAGGTGAACTGGACTACAGGTGAAGGGTCATGTGACCAACACTGCATGTGCAACGAGCCACCTGTAAGCATGTCAATGTTTTTTTTTCATTTCAAATCAAATATGCACATATAGCTGCAAAAAACTCGAGTATTTGTCTAATAGTCATTTCTAGTTAAGACTTTTGGAATTAAATGCACTCATAATTAAGATAGCTCGCCTCCTTTTAAGACACTCAACATATAAATATAGCTTTCTGCATTGGCAGGCAACTCAGGCCTTCTTTTTCTGCTTTTTTTTTATCCTGATATAAGATTTCTATCTGGACTCGTCAGGGGGAATGTGACTTATTCTTAGTGTAATGAGATATTTTTGACTAGAAATTAGACAGTTTTTACAGTGTATAGCCTTTAAAGCTGTTCAGGATTCTGTGATCTGCTGATATGGTCTAATGTTCTGCCTCCTTTCCCTTCATCAATGATCATCAAACCTGCACTTCAGCGTTTGCTGGCACACAACGCTCCACCATCCTTAAGCCAAAACACAACAGCATTATTGTCTGAGCCAAACTTTGTATCAACAAGACAAGCATCCAAAGCAGCGGGGCGAGGTGAGTTCTCCTTTTTCGCGTCACTAGATACTGTTATTACCACGGCTGCTTTTAGCCTGAGGGAAACAATACAAAGAGAGCAAATAAGAGACCTTCCCTTTACAGTAAAAAAAACAATGGAGCAGTGCATGATGTAGCTGAACAGCTGTTTTTACATATCTATCAGGTAACCGCAGTGTTTACAGCTCTACACCTCTCAGCGAGATGGCATCCCATCAGTGAGGAGATCTTCTGGGAATTGTTGCAATTGAGGAAATGATTAACTGAAACCAGCATTTACTGTATCAGTGAACCGCAGGTGCAGCTTTTTAAAATCTCTGTTAAGCTTTTAATCTTGCCTTTTTTTTTCTGTCACAGGTAGAAAGGTGCGGCTCTTCCACTTTCTGTTTGAGATGCTGGAGGACCCAAACATGGCCCACTGCGTTTCTTGGGTGCCGGCAGCTGCAGGCGTCTTCCGCTTCTCCTCCACCAACAAGGACGAGGTGGCGGCGCTCTGGGGGCAGAGGAAGGGCAACAAGAGGCCGATGACGTACCAGAAGATGTCCCGCGCCCTGAGGAACTACGCCCGCTCCGGGGAGATCTTCAAGGTGAAGAAGAAGCTCACCTACCAGTTCAGCCGTGACACCCTGACCCTCCTGCAGAGGTGTCATAAAAGAGATATGTGAAAAGAACTAAATGTTTCTGTTTAATTTTTGTACTTTTTTAAGTCTTATATAAAACCGTAAATGTAACTTTTGTGAATTTCTTCTACCTTTCATTTTCAACTCAACTGATTTAAAAATCACTTTCCTTGAAGTTAATATGTATTTAGTTTTTGTTGTAAATAAGAAAACAATAAAGAAAAACTTTGGTAACACTGGAGGTCACAATATTCACTATTAACTAGTCACTTAATAGCACGCTAATTACCAGCATAATGGCTCCTTATTGGTCATTATTAAGCTCTTATTAGTACCTTATTCTACATGACCATAGTGGATAGCTTATAGGACATTAACTAGGAGTTTGACTTCCTATTTACTGCTTATTGATAGTGAGTTAGGAAGTTATTGAACTTGAATTATGACCTTAATATGCTTAGCTTACTTCTACCTTATAAAGGCCACACTAAGCTCCATCATCCATCCATCCATCTTTTTTTGATTTCCCTTCTGTCTTTCCTCTGTGAAGCCCTTTGCACTGCATGTTTTAAACATTAAAGGTGCGATCTACATACAGTTAAGTCGAGGCCCCAATTTCCCCCTTAAGTCATAGTCATAAGTGTGTGAGTGTGTTTAACTTGATCGTAGATAAAGCCACTTTGCATAGGAACGTCTTGCATCAGCGAATGTACTGTATGTTTAGAGGCTATACAGGTGAGGTCCATTTATCAGTCCAACAGGGGCAATACAACTAACAGAAAAAAGACATGTATGTTATTGTAGCTTTATCTGTGGATTTAAATACAGCCTGAAGGAACAATAGGTGACCAGACTGTGAGCTTTAAAGCCCTGTAAAATACACCAACAGATTTAAGGAGCTGCATGCTTCTTAATCACTTTAAGCTGCTTAAAGTCAGCATACATGACACAGCCATAAACACTCTGAAAGTGGTAGTCTACAGAATAGAGACACAACTGTTAATACTTCTGTAATAAAAGTAGGATAAGAGATAAGGAATGTAAGAGTTAATGTGTGCAACTTTCTAGTTTTTCAACTTTTCCGTCTTCACAAACACTCAAAACATTATTAATAACAAGTATTCTTAGTGGACTTAAAGTGTCTCTACCCCTGTTGACAAGTGTATCTGTGCATGTGCTGTCCTGTGTTTGATGGCTGAGAGGAACCAGAGGGTGTCAGTGTAGTCCATCTCATAGCCCTCCAGCTGCTTCTTTTTTTCCTTTCCTGTGTGGCGTGACCTCATGGCTAAATCGCCTCAGTGATGTGCACTCACGACCGTCCAGGGTAATACCAAATGGTTTTGTGCTCTTTGTAGCAGCCCCACGTGATACCCCCCCTAAGCCTAGTATTTACTGCTGGAGCCCACTCCAGGTTATAAATGGGCTAACTGATCTATGGGTGTCTGTTACCAAGAAAGGCCACATACTTCCAAAACAGAACGGACCAAAACGGTCATTTAGGGAAAGAGAATGCTCTTCAGTAAAAGCTTCCACATTGCATGAAAGGTGTCAGACAGCAGTATGGATCCTACGTTGTTGTGACGTTGACTAATTTCAGGGATTGTCCGAGAAATTTCAGGCAGTCTATCTAAGCTGCATTCCTGCGCACTGACCACATCCCGTCCCTCGGAATAGGCCTTGTGTTTTGTCTTGACTTGCCTTGTTGGGTTGTCTGAGGTATCAATTGTCCATGTTTTTAAGTGTATTTCTATGTCAAGATCATGACATGCCCAAGCAGTTATGAGTTCCTTAGATTCCCAGCTTTAAGCCTTCCTGTTTATTCTTCACAAATACCTCACACAATGAAAGATTTGTCACTTGTGTTTGACATAATAAAAAGATGAATTAGGACTAAAGCAGGCACATTAATAACACAATTAAAGCATCTTTTCCCTGTCCCAATACACATGTCATATGTCAAGGTTTCTTTCCAAGTATAGGCCACATAACCACCGCCAAAGCATCTCTCCAGTATTTATTTGCCCGGTCGGAAAGCCGGCTGTTCTTGGACGCCATTCCCCGTGGATTAAATTGATGTCCGGCAACTGGCATTAAGTCGCTGCTTGTCATCCCAAACCTTTCTTTTATGATAAATCCACAACATGTTGTACATCATTGGACTGAGAGTATTACATCAGCCCCACCTGTGAAAATGAGGACACAGCTTTCTTTAATACCTCCCCTCCTGAGACCCCAGTTCCCCCCGACCCTCCTCCTTCAACTCCTCAACTGTAGTGCATTGAAGAAAGTCACCTCTGATGCCCTAATGACAATCCTCAGCCTGTTACTGAGGGGGGGAAATCTGGTAGTAATGATGGCAAATCATTAACGAATTACTCAACTCACAATAAGATATATGTCACTGTACCGGGTCTACGGTCGACATATGCTATAAGTTAATGAGTGAGCTTTGAAAGTGCTGATAGGTAGAGCATAGTTAGCTGCTCTTCTTGCTTACAGTCTTTGTGCTAAGATAAGATAACTTGCTGCTAGCTGTAACTTCTACCCGATCATACACTTCCTTTAATCTGACATAGTGCCTTTGAATTATCACCCTGGCAGCAGAATGTGGACATTAAGGGAATATCTTGTAAAAAAAAAAAAAAGTTAATGAATGAAGAAGAAGTCCTCCAGCAATTATAAAAATGTCACTTATTTGTACAGTTTAACATTTCAATTGTATAATAAAGTATAATCATACTTGGTGTTTCCAATCTGGAAACTGGCACAACAGCCAGTGGGTAAGGGACAGTGATGCAACAGTGGGTCTAGGACAGAGCTGCACTGTCCACTACAGAGAGGAGGAGCATGCCACCTCCCTATATAAGGCCTGAAAGCCTGTCCCCCCCAGGATCTGTCACTGGTACCTCCACTCTTCCCCCACTGAGATTTTTCCAAACGGTATCCCCGTGCCCTCCTCATCTCCCATCACTCTGGTCCAAGGGGTCCCAGAGATTTTTATTTTTTTGCTCTTCTACTGTCCTATCATCACCTCCCTCCTGGTCTTCTTCTTACCTGGCCTCCTGCAGGGTCACATAAATCTGAAGGCAGCTACCTACCTGCACCTTTTGACTCCTTGAAGGTTTTCTTGGGACACGGCTCAAGATGCCAGAGCCCACAAAGAAAGGTAGGAATGTTTATCCTAAAGATGGGAATATAATGTTGCCTCTAGCAGTAACAACAAGCCATGTAACAACCACCACAAAATATCCAAAAATAACCTTTCTGCACTGAGTAATTGTATTAATTGATCGCAAACATTCCAGTTTTTATATTTTTGGCTGATTAGAATTCAATAGTTCTGTTAGTATTCCATGAGTGATGGTTTGCTGTCTTTGTTTGAGGAGAGTAGAGTCAGAAATCTCCATCGTTTTAAAGCTCATCTGCCAGCTTCATCATAGGAATCCTCAAAGTGACTTTCACAGTGGTATTGTATTACTGATGCATGCGTTTCGACCATCCCAGAGGGCAGGAGAAGATTTGAGGTTTATGGGCAGATACTATTGTTGCCAGAGGGGGTTGGCACACTGGATTGTTCCCAGTGATCCGGCTGGAGAAAGACACAATGATGAGTCGTAGATAAGGAATGTTGATGAGTGCCTTGTCGGACAAGAGTAAAGACCTGTGGAGGATAATGTGAGGTGTCATGAACTGAGTGTTTGATTTGTTTTTGTCTTCTGTATGATTGATGGGATCCTTTAAACCTTCCACCTGCCGAAAAGTCAGCTTCATGTTGTACTACATGAAGTATAATAACCCATCCCTTGTCCCACACCATAGCTTCACTCATCTGTACCGCCGTGTCCATCAACATTCCCCTTCTAATCCGCCCATGTCTGTCATTACGATATGGTATTACCCCCACCCTCCTCATTAGCTCGGCTCGTTGGGGGTCTGCTGTCAACCCAGACATGACCATGTAGAGAAAATGGAACATTTTGTTGGGATCTTGGATGCCTTCCTAATGAGCGCTGATACAAGTTGTTTATATACTCATTATCCTCTGATCTGTCTTGGCAGTGCCGAACACACTCAACATGATATGCGCATGGAAACAATTATCAGTACATGAGACATCTATTTCTTGTATGTCTGTCTCGGACGAGGTGACACTGTTGCATTAACCTAGTAGGTTTTTATTTCAGCCTTTTGTTGAGTTTTTGGTTCCATGTCCAAACAGAAGGATGCTGAACAATTTGCAAGTTGTGAATTCCCTTGAGGCAGAATTGTGATTTCAGGCTAGATCGTTTTATATCCTGAATAGGTTGACTTTCCTGCGCCTTTCAAAAAAGTGGACATTTCCGAGATTTGGTTTAGAGAAGCTATTTTAATGGCAATGATATCGGAAGATAAACCTTGCAAATTCCAAAATCCTATTCCGAGCATTCAAAGTTTATCCCAATCCTTTGTTGGACCATTTGTGGTCAAAAAGAGTAGGTTCACACCAGTTTCTGAAATAATGTGAAGCCCAGCTTGAGCTTTATCAATATGCCCTTTAGTACTGTAGATGGTGCCCCCAAAGTAATCATGCAATGCCATAAACATCCATGAGCCCCTAAGAGACAAAGCTGAGGGGAATAAGAGGCAGCAGATTCCAGTCCGCTACATAAATAGCTCCATAGCCCATAGCAGCAGATAAATGAGGGTAGAAAAGTATTGTTCTTAAAATGAGTCTGAACAGCTGAAGAGAAGGAGGCCAGCTCTGTTGTTTTAGACACCCCACTCTCAAGCCTTTAAAAAAGTTCCAACCAGAGATGACGGGGCTGGCAGAGTCGCCCGCAGATCTTTTGGGACTTGGATTCTTGTCCCTGGAATAGTTCAGAATGAGCGCACTTTTAATCCCCATCCCTTGTTCCCCGCCATCTCCCTACACAGCCGCCCAAATCCTCCCGCCTCTCCCTGTGCCACACGCCAAAACAGACATCTCTCCCCGCCGCCCCTCACCTCATGATGGCTCAGACACCCGTCCATTAAACCTCTGACCCTCTGCCCTCCGCCTTACATTACTGTCCTTACTGCTACTCAGTTTGTCTTCACCTCATGATATTTACTGTCACTAAGACCCATCACTCTCCCTCGGCTCTGTCCTCTATGGCTTTAAGTTACACAATACCCCCTCATAAATCGGAGCCATGGTCAGACACAGGGGGAAGGCCTGTCAGCAGGTAATTGGCAACCAAGTACAGCTCTCACCTTACATCAGACACTTAATTCTGTATGGAAGTTCCTTGTTAAAGTCCTTGTCTGACCAGAACAACCATAACCAAGAGGTCAGATAAAAATAAGGAACCATAACAACAGCATCATTAATGAAGGCTTATGTTTATTAAAGCAATAAAGATCTATATAAGGAAAATGTAGCTGCCGGCAGATTGGCTCACACTGAAGTCTGAATGAGCCCTTCTGTCTGCACGCCAGCAGAGGCAACAGCTGAAAATACCTGCAACCCTGTCAGCTGCACTGGGAGTCCTCAGAGGTAAAACAAAACCCTTTCTCCAGTCTCATTATCTCCATGTTGATGAGACAGAGATGCAATTCTCGGGCCGATGATGTGACACTACAGGACTGTCGCCAATGGCGCATTGTTCTGAAGTGAGGTGGGAGTGGGGCTAAATTTGACAGAGAATGCTCAGAGGGAATCACTACGAATAGAGTTATCTGAAGGTAAGGAGCAATGGGAGATTAGGTCTGTTTAAAACTCTGCAAAGTGAAATGGACAGGTGGGAAATTAGAGCTGCAGTATTCATAGATTGGTTGCAAACAGCTGGCAGTGACAAACTGAGGATTTTTAGGAGTGAACAAATGATTCTCTAAATGTAAAAATGTTTAAGAAGCAACTTTTAGGCTCAGGCTATAGACCATTGACTGTATATTAAGATGGACATTGTGTCTCCTTCTGTACAAAAGTGAAGCCATAATATCCTGCAGCAGGCTCTGACATATGCTGGTGACATAATGTGGAATCAAAAGTTTAAAAAACAACAACACAATAACTCCCTAACAGTGTATAACAACGAGGTCTTACAACTTACTGAATCTCTTATTTGGGTGGCAGTAGCTCAGTCTGTAGGGACTTGGGTTGGGAATCAGAGGGTCACTGGTTTAAGTCCCAGCACAGACCAAGTCCAGAAATTGGCCTGGTAGCTGGAGAGGTGCCAGACCACTTCCTGAGCACTGCCAAGGTGCCCTTGAGCAAGGCATCTAACCCCTCACCAGCTCAGGAGCACCCACTGTGGGCAGCCCCCTCACTCTGAGACCTCTCCATTAGTGCATGTCCATAGGATCCTGTTTGTGTGTGTATTTCAGCCTATGTTTGTGTAGCATGTTAACTAGACAGAGTGTAAAATCAAATTTCCCCTTGTGGGATCAATAAAGTATTTATTTATTTAACTCTGACGAAGAAACCCAAACATTCTCCGTCTCACTCTCCTCAAGGGAATTCTCTTTGTGATAATTGTATACATTGTAAATCCCTGATCAGAGTCAATCATTTCACACATGCAAATTTAAAGTAGGACATTAAGGTTAGAGGTCGGATTACCTGTAATAGAATCATGATGACATATCATCAGTAGCCAGACACTTCAACGGTAATAATCACAGCATGAGCGACTTGAATTACATGGGTATAGAAGTAATTAATATGTCTTGTAGAGGTGGGGACAGGGACAAAATCCTTCTGCAGACACAGAATTATTGGATCCATTCTTTGAGTAACCTCATTCCCAATGGTTTAAATGTGGAGATTTAATTTATCTGTTTCCTATCAACTGATTGTTATTGTTGTCCCTATTTTTTTCTACTGTATTTTTGTTTCTCTTGTCTCTTTGTTTGATTTGTTCCCGGAGGTACCTCTGCATATAAATTGGCATGATAATAACTTTTTTTCCATGTCAGAATTTGGGTTTGACAAGAATGTATTTTGCGTGTCTGTTAGCATTATAGTTTGGCACATGTACCATCTCTTAACATGGAGGAGGCAGCGTTTATGTGACCAATACTGCAGCCAGTCAGCAGGGGGACCTATAAATAATTTGGCTTCACTCCAGGGCGACTGTTGCTCCGTCTCTCCTCGTGTACTCTCCATGGTTTAGACTAGTAGATAATCCCTGTATTTGTTGTTTTTCCTATTCTCATTCTTCTCACACATGCAAACCCCAAATTAGTCGTTGACTTAAGTTGTACCACTCCATCAGAGTTTGGTTTCATAGTTTTAAGGATGTACCAAATACGGAGAGATATTGGACAATCTAGTTGCTTTATAAACACCAAATCGCTTCTGTGTGAATTCTGTACATTCAATCGCCATTACCAAGGTACGTGTGTTAAAGTCTAATGATGGATTTAGTTTTCTGACATGAAACATCCCATTTCCTTAAGCATGACCCAACCACTTGAGTTGGGCTGTAGCAACTGCCACATTACTAGACAGCCTCTCATGACTCTTGTGCTCCACTAACCCACTGATAACAAAATAAGTTCATATTTTCACCTCTGTCATTGCATGCAAGGAGTCGTATGGACGCTTTGATCTGCTGAAGCCCTGCATTGAGTCCTGTTACAGACTCTGAATGTCTTATCAAGACACAGTTCTTCCTTACATTGGTTAAGTCTGGACGAGGCAAAGGGCAAACAAATGGTGTTTCATGGGGGCCTTCGTCATAATCAGTTAAGACTACATGGTGTCTGGGAACGAGGAGCCGATCATCCCACTCAAAGATGATATGGCTTAGCTGAGAATGGACATCAATGAAGAAGTCAATGTGCACAAACACAAATAAATGTTTGTTTAGCTGATTAAATGCAGGACATGCAACCTCGTCATGATAAACAGTGATGTGCTTTTGTCTCTGTTTTATTTAGATGAGACGCCAAACGGCCAGCCAGAAGGTGAGTGGACGACTTTACGCATCTTATCTACACCTGTCGAGTAGATCAGAGCTGCTCAATGTATGCACAAGAGCAGACATTCATCATGTGTCAAAATGTATCTTGAAAACAAGGGTAGTCTAGTATGTGAGAAGAAACCAACATGGTCGCTTCAGGAAGAGAAAACCTCTGTCAAAGTGCACAAAGCATGTTTGCACTGAGGTTCACAGGTTAAAGCCGAACATGTCTACACATGTAATGTGCAGTTACAACTCTGAACTCGGCGTCAATGCGCAAACACAGTTTCATAGCAGTGTAAATGTGGAGCCAATAGTCGGCAGTATGGACATGCTGCCATGTTCTAGAGCGATCTGTAGTGAAGACCAAGCTGTCAGCATCTCTGACATTCCTCTAGCCAGCCAGCTGATCCCCCTCTGTTGGTTCAGCTGACGCCTCGGCCGCCCTGGTCGCCCCATGTGAGCAAGGTGCTGGCATGCAATTGGCTTTTTGCCGGGGCTGGGGTTTGACCTTGGAGCGGCAGCATCTTGAGGCTCCGACATGGCAAGGGGGCTGTGTCAGCTTTTTTAAGGGTTTAACAGGAAACAGTCGTATTGAAAACTATGGCTCGTGAGAGAAAATCACTCTTCTGATTTTACGGAGAGGCCGGTCACATTTTGGTGGTCGCTTAGGACAGTGTACTAGCTCATTAATAACAGCATTATCTCCAGAGTTAGGCAGGTAAGTAAAAAAATGTAACCCATCACACATGACACTTTACTTACAAAACAAGTATTTAGGAACAACACAAGTTTCATTATACATGTTGAAAAGGAAAGCAGTTGAGGTACTGAGTCAGTACGTTGACATGAAGGTAAGAAATTGATTTATTGTGTTAGTCCAACTAAAACTGGACTTTTTAAATAAATGTAGACTTAGTAGAACACCTTGGCCAGTTTGGGTCTGATTAAGGTGTTTACGGAATAGATCAACCGGGGGAAGGTCCAACCATAACTAGCTTAAAGGACGCATATTGCCACCTACAGCAGTGGAGTCAGATATACTTCTATCAATACATCTATTCCCCCCCTTTGCTTTTATACTGGGGTACGGACAGTAGTCCAATTAAAAGACCTTCTCAGTCTATAACCGTAGCTCGACTTAACTGTGCATGTAAACGTACTGACTGACAATCTTTAAAGAATTAACTGATTTAAAAAAACTGGACAGCAAACAACCCGGTCTCACAAAAAAGTCTAAGTAACAGCATCATCCAACACCTGTCATGACAAAATAAGCATAATACAATTTAATTGCACTGAGTACTTGCATTACACGATCCGGTAAAGCCATTTTCAGTGCAATTTCGATGCCGATGCAAGCAGAAAAGTTCAATACTTTAGGTGAGAAATTGACTGCCAAACAATTGACTGACAATGCACGACACTTTCAGCAAGTGTTGCGGTGGTGCCCCGACAATCAACATAGAAAATCTTACTTGTTGATGCCTAAGTACCCACAGTGAACGCACCACAACGCCTTGATGGAAGTAAAAAGTACGAGGTGACATCTGGCCTTGGTACTATTTTATGTTAGTGTGCAATTCTAATCTTGACATATTAACAGCACATTTATTCAGTGACTAGCACTACACTACAGTACAGTATAGTACAGTACAGGATGTCTTTGTTGTATGAAATCAGAGTATCTTCTGAAAAATATGATATCTTCTGATAACGTGTGAATTGGAGGAGGTGAGTGAGTCTCTGTTGTACGAGTTGAAAACTGTTTGTGTGTGTTTCATGTGCGTTTGTTTGAGTGTGAGATCGAGAGAGGCATTGCATATGCAGAAGCTTTTTGTGCTTTTAAAAAAGCAGCTGTTCCATCCACAACTATATTTGTCACTTGCTCAGAGAGTGTTGCCCCAGACAGTAATGGTGTCCTGCCCCTCCCCGAGATTTCCCTGAAGGTTTCTCCACCCCCAGGTGGGTAACCCCCTCCCACACTTGGGTCAGAATGTTTCACTCTTTTGCACATCAAACTCAAATCACGTGTTCGTTTGGTGTGTGCTGACACAATTATTATTTTTTTAACTTAATTCACTCGGCCTGAAACTGCACTTTTCTTGCACAGGTATGACTCCAAATCACATTGTATGTATGCTCACACAAAATAAAGTTAAGGTTAATAAGGTTAGCTTTTAGGCAAACACACCGCTACAGTGCACACATCCCCATGCCTGCATTGTTTAACATGCATTTGCCTAAGGACTAGGAGCTGTAACTAACTTCTGCTGTGGCTGTCGTTGTATTTGTGTAACTATTGAATCATCATTCAGGAGGCTATAGAGGTATTAAGGAAGTTGGGTTTTCACTGACTCTGTTGCATGTAATGAAAGGCCATCTGTCTAAATTGACCTCTGCAAGAAATCAGATCAATTCATACTTGCTGAGTCGGGACATCCCTGCCTCCTTAAGAACTTCACTGTATAGATATGCAATGATCAGATAGATGCTGAATTGATGCACATGCCCAAAGCATGGAACTGTCCATCAAAATGAAAATGGCACAAATGGGCTTTTTCAAAATATTATTCCTTATTTAAATGTCACCAATCAGCATTGTGGCTATCTGGTCATTTCGCTATTTATACATGCCCAGTTTGCGCAAGCATTGTCTTGCAAGGCTGTTGTGCTTGATGCTTGCTGCTCCAGCCTGGCGCTTTGTCTGCTGTACAGAGGCAGTAGCAGAGGGGCAAGAGCCAGTAGAGACTGATGGGACGCAACCAGAGCATGCAGAGCCTGCAGAGCCTGAGCCAGTTCAGGCTGTGGTGGCTCAGGAGCCCATTCCCGCTGAGAACGGCTCAAATCAGCCACAGCCTGTCGAGGTTGGGGTGAAAGAGCAAGCAGAGTCTGGTAAAACTACTGAAAAGGGAGAGGGCCCTTGCTCTCCCCGACCTCCTGGTAAGTATGTCTTTTAAACATGAATCGGTCCCATGTCTCTCTGACGATGCATTCTTACCCCTTTGTTTTTTTAAAATGCTACTGAAACAAGCCCTGATCGTCCTACAAGTCGTTTTCATGGCTCAGCAGCATGGCAGAAAACTTTATTTTTTATCTGAAATAGTGATATTTCTGAGTTGAAACCTCAAACATTATTTACATTTCTGCTAAGGTGCTATGGACTCCAATTATTAGTTGAAGCCATGCATTGATGTTTTTCTCTGTCTTTGCTTGTTCGGCTTAATTTGCATGCAGACTTCAAAGAAAAAAAGACTACTTTCACCTTTGGATATTATGATGCAGTCTTCAGACATCCAAAGGAATAAAAACTAATATGGACTAATAGATGAAGTAGTCATTAGATTCTGAAATGGCAATCTGAAAGTGATGCAAAGTGTTAGCAAGGTGAGTCGGCAAACTAAATTCTTCATTCAATAATTCAGAAACAATGAATGTAAAAGGCAAAAAGAAAAACACACACATTATGCTTGATAGCTATGGCTTGCTCATGAGCATCTTCTGCAAATACGAGTTGTAAGCTGCTAATAAAGTTGGATTTTATGTTACACCTGTGTGTGTATGAAGACAAGTGAGCTTGTGCTTTTGTTTCTGCAGCTTGAGAAGCTTGCGCCATGTGAGCATAAAGCCTTCATGACCCCACACTTTTAATCAACCAGACATACGGTATTCAAGGTCTTACAGAGCACAAAGTCAAAGATTTTGATCTCATTCCTCAAATCTAAAAGCTGCATGTCATGTTCCATTCATTCAAGTCTTGTCCAGCATGTGTTCGACGGCCTTGTTGGCCTGCCAGTCTTGTGTCTTGTTGGCCTGCCAGTGGAGCTTTTTGATAGGTGGGTCTATTTGTCAATGACACCTTTATTCCAGATGAGGATGATGCTGCAGCCACAACCCCATCCCCAACACCCCGACCAGGTTGGTATCCATAACAACCCTCACTACTTTCCTAATGTATTCCTCTTCACATCACCCATTGAGGACAGTTCATCATGAGTCTGATCTGACTTAACTCCGATGGCCTCCTTAGTGTTTTGAAAGGTTGCTAAAGTACTCTTGAGCTAAAAGTACGGCAAATTGATGGTTGGTCATTGTGGTGTTAATACGAGATCGAAGAATTGTAAAATATAGCGTTTTATTCATTTGTCAATTAAACTCTTTGGTTTGTAATGTGGATTTGAACTTCACAAAATGATAAGGCGCTAAGCTAACTAACCCTCTGCATTTAATACTAATGCTAAGCTAGGCTAAATGCTGTCACCACTGTTTCTGAACATAAACATTCGCTCTTCTAATTTAGATCTGAGTATGACAGCAAATTGGTGAATTTACCAAAATGTCAGAGTATCTTCAATTATTTTATTTTTATCCTTATTTCCCTGCATTTGATCATTTGACTATAAAAGACCAAGCCATAAAAAAGTAGTTGTTTCCTTAATAACCTCAGTCTTAATTGTTCTTTTTTCACAGAAGAGGCCAATACACTCAAGAAACTCTCAATTGAACTGCCTAGTAAGATCCCTCCGTTAAATCCTACCACCATTTTAGAACCAAACCAGTAGTTTACTCGAAATTACAAAAAAAAAGGACCGTCTGAATGTAGAAACATGTTGAAGACATGTTTATTTCTCAATTATTTTTTTTTGGTGTGTTTTTAGAAGTTAGCTTTTCAATAGAAGAAAATTACAATGTTCAAATTATCCATGCTAACATACTAGTATACACCATGCCATACAATACATCTTGATGCTTGTTAGACTTGCTAGACTGGGGTTAGACCGTTGACTGTGTATTAAAATGGACGGAGAAACAACTGCCTGTGAGTGAGGCCAAAATACTTTTGAGCAAACGTAACGGCATGATCAACAGCTCTGTTGACAATAGAGGACGAAAGGTCATAACATTTTCCGAAATATTGAGTTTCTGTTCCAAACCAACACCTGAATTTGTCCTGCTGTTGACTATACCGACCTAAGGGATATTTTACATTTTAGCGTACACATTAAGCTTACCGCTAAAATGTAAAGTAAGCTTAATGTGTACGTCATTTAGCGGAAACGTTAAGCTACAACAGCCAGCTCCCAACATATATGAGCATCTGTCCCGCAATCTTTTGGCTTCACTTTTGTACAACAAAGGAGAAAGAGGGGGGCTGTCCATATATATATATATGTCCATTGATATACAGTCAATTGGTTACACGATCACGCTTTTTTGTTTTCTGTACACATAAATTATAATTTATGTGGTTACATTTGGAATTCTGATCATTTATCTGCTTATCCTAACAGTCATATCAAGTTTAACACACAAAAGAAAAACCATGGCATTTAAAAAAAAAACAGAGCTTTGATTCAGAATTCCTCAAAATATCTGTTGTTGCTTTTACTTTCTATGAGTGTGTGCTTGCTTCAGTGGACTTTACAGTACTATTTTTCACAATATGCTGTAAATTTCTCTCTGTCTTTGTTTAGATGATAGCGTCCCTTTGCCAGAAATGGGGAGAAAGGACTCAGGTAATAAAATAGAAATCTAAAAATGAGACTCATGTGGTAACTATGTTCATTTTTTCATTCAGTCAAGGAGGAATGGCTGTACCAGTTTCCCATTTCTCCGTCATTGCTGGTCAGTAGTTTGTTAGCATAATCCAAATCAATTTATCCCAGGAATATAATCCGCAAGATGAAATCGACGTGTTTATCTGACAAATCATAGCCCTGACCTCTTGTGTCATCCTCACTACATACATGGAAACAATGGGGCTTTCAGAACTCTGATTGCACTTAAGACTGGAGCACCGGAAAATGAAGAAATGCCCAAAACAAAGAGTTGCTGAAAATGGAAATACCGTGTCCTTTTTGTGTTTCATGTTGTCTTTTTCATGCTTTCCATGTTGCTAAATGCTTAAATTCTGCTGCTGTATGAGTTGTGATTGCTGAATGTGAGAAACTGTGTCAGTGTGTCTGTATTACTCTCCTCTGGTACAGTAAGGTTAAAACTTTCAGATCAAAAGTGAAAGGTGGGTGTGCGAATTCCTCAACAGTAATGTTGTTTTTTTTCCTGCATAATGGAAATGTAGAGCCCTGTGTCATGTATGTGTTTCTCCTAACTGACCAGTGTGGTCACTGGGAGAGGGCCAGGCCCCCGAGGACCTGGACAAGCCTATTGATACCCCACCACGGTCCACCCTGCTGATAGAGAGTCCCCAGAGCGCCTCTATGCCTGTGGGTGAGTAAAAGCAGAACGAGGAGGAGTTAACAGATATATACAATGACAGTATATATCATATATGCATAAATGTAAATGTACGGAGCTATAAAGTTGTCCACCGTGTTTTTACCATTAAACATTCAACCAGTTTTCCGCTTTGGAATTTGTTTGTTGATTGTTTGGTAAGAGGTCATCTGGAAAAAGATCCAATAGGACCTAGAAAAATGATTATTCGCTTTCATGTCCAAAATTTGTTTAGAAGCTTGGTGCCACTCTTTCCTTTACAGTAAATACTTAGCTAAATCAAGAGGATGTTAGACTAGCTTAGTTTAGATGGTCTTATTTTAGGTAAAGTAAAGTTAGGTAAGGTTGGATTAGGTTTGCGTAAGGGACGACATTAGCCTAGCTCTGGATAGGAAAGTTACAAAACTCTTTCACCAAAACCTCTAATGCTCACAAACTAACAATGCATATCCCATTACCTCACTTTAAAACCACACTTTGTTTTTATGCTTCAGTTTTGTCAATAAAAAAAGATGCATTAAAATGTACGCTTTACTGCTGTAAGTATGCAAAATATGTGCCATCAGGAGAGAGTCAAGCTAGCTAATTTGCCCACCTTATACAGTCGTTAGGTAACTAACTAGCTAGTAGCCTTATCTGCATTCTCGCTTTTAGAGGACAGTATTGATCTTCCAATCTAAATCTGCATTGAAGACAATCAGCAAATTCCATAAAATGTTTGATAAGAAAAGTCTAAGAACAGCAATAGATTAATTGAAAGGCCCTTAATACAATAAAGAATGTGCATGTGTGTTTTACTAACCAAATGTGGTGTAGAGTTAATAGTTGATTGATGGGACTTTTGGACTGTTTGATTTAAGGTGGAGATATATCCTTTGTTGCCAAGGTGGAGGCTAAAGATCTCCTCCGCAAACCAACTGTCAAGTGGTTTAAAGGAAAATGGATGGATCTGGCCAGCAAGACAGGAAAGCACTTACAGCTGAAAGAGACCTTTGAACGCCAGACCAAGGTATTGTCCAGCTAAGCACCCAACCGTCCCAGCCCCCCCTATACCTGCCTGAGCAACAACTAACAGTTACATGCTTATGGCGGTTTTATTTCCATACTTGTGTATCATCCCCTGGTAGATCCACACATTTGAGATGCATATCATCAAAGCCAAAGAAAACTATGCTGGAAACTACAGGTGTGAAGTCACCTATAAGGACAAGTTTGACAGCTGTTCCTTTGACTTGGAAGTGAAAGGTTTGTTGACATGTCAAAGTGCGTTCGATTCATTCCAATATCTCCACAGAATATAGAGCGTATGTGTGTTGTTACTGTCTTACAGAGGCTGAAACGGGCTCACAGAATATTGATATTCGATCGGCTTTCAAAAGAAGGTAAAGAAAGGAGTGTGTGCTGCAGACATGTTGATATTGCAAAGGAGTCAGCAATATATGAATTCAGTATGCAGCAGTACCGTATTTCCTATTTTCCCATCAGCTAAAAAATGTTTGGATGTCAGAACATAGGATCTCTGACGAATTTTTGATACTAATAAAAGATTAAGTGGAACAAATAAAAGTGCAATAAACATTTAATCTTGGAACTATAGCACAGTAAGTGTGACAAGATGGTTGCGATAATGTCATTAACCTTTTTTTGAAGGTAATTACAAATCAACCAACCGACTCAATGTGTAATCAAAGGCCAACTCTTGCCTTTTAAATCTCCCAACAATGTGTCCAGATAGCAATGCAAAGCATCCCGGTTCATCAACGTTGCTGCTTAGTAATGTTGCTTCAACATTACTACGGCAATATTGCCTGGGACCTCTCATGAAGTGTCTTACACAAAACACCTTGTTTTGAGTTTTTATCTGGAAAAGACAAAAAAAAAAAATGGAAGGGAACTTGTGTAAGAACCAATCGTGTGTTAGCTTAAAGCTAATCAAACGATTGACTTCTGAGCATTTGCTTTGTGTTGCTCCATTAGCATTGTTTCATAGTGTAACTGTTGTACGTCTGATTGAATCTTTATTAATCTCTCCTTGTTAACAACAGCAGTGAAGGACAAGAAGATGCAGGAGAGCTTGACTTTAGTGGTCTCCTTAAACATAGGTGAGAATCACATCCCCACCCTGAGTGGATTTTGTCCTTTTCAGTATGTTTAAGCCCATTTTTGGATGTGCTTCTTTTCTAATTCTTTCAGATATTCTGAACTCTTCATTGTAGGTTACTGTAAGAGTGAAGAGCACATACCTAGAGACACAATATCATACCACACCAGAGGTTTTCAGCTCATAGGCTGTACTTTGTTTTTACATTTTAGGTGAATTGGAACCATTTAAAGGCACTCAAAATAGCCACAGATGAACAGGTTACATTCTCTGGATTTCTTTTAGTCTGATGCTTCTATGGCTTGTTCCATATAGAAAATACATAACTTTCTATGATTTCTTCTTCCATTTGTGGATGTTTATTGTATTGGGACATTTGAGACAAGATTTTCCCTAAATGGAATCTGAAAATATTGGTATAATGTATTTGTTGACAGATTTGACAGTATAACTCTATGGAATGCAAATTTTGCCAAAAGTAGCACCGCCATTGGGCACTTTCTTTGCCTCCTGTTTCTGAACTTTTCTCGTAAATCTCCCTGTGCAGTTTGAAAACCTCTGTGCTATACCAAACTTATCAAGTAGGGTTCCAAATAAACACCGTTACACATATTTTAGAGAATACAGTGCAGTGTTTTAGTCGGAGCAAAAATAGTCCTAGGCAGCGACACTGTTCATCAGCTAGCCTACATTACACATTTACTGTCGGCTTGTCTCTTCTCTCCCCTATATATTCAGAAATCAAAGGTTAGTAGAGAGAAACCAATAGGTTTTTAAACGGTTAGACCTTACTGCGGGTGAGTAATCCTGTAGAATCCCCAGCATGACGTGTAGCTTTAGGAACTGGACGAGCAAGAGTGTTGGCCTACTGTAGTACGGTAACACTTCATTTGAAGGCAGCATTCCTGACTGAACTGTGAGCAAACATTAACGATGAAAATGGGCCTGGAATCGTAAATGGTGAAGTAAAACGGCACCACTACGAGGCACCATTTTGGATCATTAATGACGTGCTCAGGGGCCGTGAAGAAATGATGCAGTAAAATAGTGTTATCGCTACATTGTCGTTTTATTTCAGTCTAGAAATACAAGGCAAATACAACCATGTTTATTTCAGCTTTCTCTGTAATTGCCTGAAAATAAACACATGAGAAATACAAACATTGAATAGAGTAAAACTTGACGCTATTTACCTCCAACCTTTCTGACATTTTGGAAAAAAATGTCTTTCAAAGGAAAGGGCTGACTGAATGTTCTGTATTTACAGTAATGGATACATTCATGTCAAAGGCGACGTGTTTTTAACTGCTTTCTCACAAACCTAACATGTCTGAGAGACATTTTCATTATCTAACATTGTCGGAGCATTTCTGAAGTAATCACTCAAACCAACAACAAAGGGATGGGCCACTTCTGATGAGGAAAATGATGGAAAAATGATTTGTTTCAGTTTACTGCTAAACTCCTGCATGCTGCATATAAACATTTTAAGAAACTGGTTTACGTTTGAACCTGCTTGTGTGATATTTCAGTCGTACATGACAGATCAAACCCTATTTTCTTGTAAAAGTGTCGAAACCATTGTTATCACTCAGTTTCCTTCCTAATTAAAAACATGTATGAAAGATGTTAGAAATACTCGGTTGATTTAGTTTTAACCAAGTGGCTAACATCAGAACAATAACAATTTACCAGAAGACAATATCTAATGACTTTCAAGAAATACATTTTGTTGGTATTTTTCAAAAATCTCTGCAATGGTAGTTTAACCATTATTTTCCTACTTGAAGTTGAGGCCCTCTAGACAGGTCCTCTATAAATTGTAGGGCCTGAATGATACAGGATTTTGGGATCGATACTGATATCGATATTAAGGATTAAAAAGATTCTGATACCGATATATCTGCCGATAACTTTTCTTGGCTTTGTCTTTGATCTGTAGCGATAGACAGATATAGATAAACACATTTATTGTATTGATCTCTCAGTTATCAAAAACTTATGGAAAAGATATTTGATGAAGACAAGATGGTCGCTCAACTGGAATGTACGTTCCTCACCGTTTGACACTCTGGAGAGTGATGATGCTTGTTGTAATCCATGTAGCGCCCTCTGCTGGTGAAAGATAACTGCTAGTGTAATACAATGATACTCAAATTAAATGCTATTTGCCTCGTGAATAAATCTAGAAATATCAGCGCATTTCTGAGATAAATTAGCTGATACCGATAGTCACAGGATATGCTTATATCGGCCGAAATTATTGACTGGTTGATTAATCGGTCGGTTCTCGTAAATTGTGTTTTATTGAAAAATACCTACTTTGACTAGCTGTCCTTATTCTTGCATAAAGTTTCTGTATCAAACACCTCTAATTAGCCACTGGTGACACATAAGCAATAACGTCCACACATGATTAACCCTCTAAGCAAATACTGGGACATTTGGTTTTAACTGATTAGTGCTTCTACTCATTTAGTGTTCATATTTGTCTCCAGAGCTGACGCAAACACACAAGTCTACAGCTCAAAACGCCCATTCCTTTGTGTGACATGTCCTGAGGAATGCACTGCAAGGAAATAGGACACGCAAATCAAATTTCACAAAGAAATGAAAACGAAATATTGACACCTAAATGCTGATTTGCTTAACCTACCAATGGTTCAATAAGTTCCACTTTTTAGAGGTTAATGAGTTGTTCCTCAAGACACGTTGCAAAACCCCCTGCCTGTGACTCCTACCCTTACAATGTTCCCTCATACCTGGCACCACTAGGGAGCCAAAACAGGAGGACGAAGCACCTGATGTCGATGTGTGGGACATCCTAAAGAACGCTAGACCAGATCAGTATGAGAAGATTGCCTTTATGTACGGCATCACAGATCTGAGGGGTCTGCTGAGGAGGATGAAGAAGATCCCAAAACAGGAGAAGAAAAGCGAAGGTGAATCAGTAGTCGCCAACATTTTTTGATGTGCTACTTAGCAAAAGTTGCATTCTAGGGAAATTTAGAAGGTGAATCTGTGGTCAAATGGGAAATCTTGTCTTTGGTTTTGATGCTTTTCTTTTCAAAGCTTTCGCAAAGAAACTGGAACCAGCATATCAGGTGGACAAAGGTGGAAAGATCCGCTTGGTGGTCGATCTGGCCGACCCGACAGTTGAGCTGAAGTGGTACAAGAACGGGCAGGAAATCAGACCCAGTCCCAAGTATGTGACTACTTTTTCTTCAGTCTATTGTCTGTCGTCTCCCCTTCAACACTGCACAAATGAAAATCATTTTAACCCTGAAAATGCATTTCATTTGTGGTATTGCCATTCTTCACCAGTTGTCTGGTATATTGTGTTTTCATTTTGTCATCAATGAAAAACACAATGGTTCAACATGTTAAAGCTACAAATCATATGCAACATAGACCTATATTTACACAAATGTGCCCATAGAAAGTGGCTTAGTGCGACAGTACTTTAATGTATCCATACATCAGGCACACAGTTTAATAGTGCTTTCTTTCTCATGTGCAGCCGGTTAAGTCCACTGAACCATTTCTAGTGAACAAACACAATGCTCTCAACTCTAATGTGGCCCAAATCAGTCCCCTACAGTCTCACACAAACATTTCAGTAACACTGTCAATATTTAGGACTTCATAAACATCCCCATAGCTACATTTGGCTGTAAATGTGGTGTATGATGTAGACTGTTGACTTTAATTGCCATTAACTATTGTATATGTCCTCCTCCGTACAGGAAAAAGGTGGTACCTCCTTCACAGGTCTTTAACTAAGTCTGGCTTTGAAACCAACTAAATAGATGCTAAATGTAAAAATCAAATACAGATAAAGTAAATTACCTTTAACAGGAGACACTTTTCAAAAACAATATGTTATCGTAAAGGTTTAACTTATTTGGGTGGGTTGGATCTACGATGGCTATAAAGGTTATGGGAAGTATTTTTTAGTGCAAATCTGAAGCCTTACTGATGCTAAAACGTATACTCATGAATAGACAATGAAAGCAGCTCAAACACAACTTTGGTTTTATGGTTCAGTCAATCCACTTGTCCAAGTTAGTGTGAAAGCAGCAAGAGAGCACCAATAGTCTGCCTTTCCAAAACCAACTTATGGACAAAGAAAACCACTAGCTGTTTAAAAAAGGGACATCAATTTCCTTTAGCATTTGGTGAATACCAAAACAGAGCTAAAAAAAAAGGATATTTAACACATTCATCAGGAGGATGGAAACAGGACTTTGTCTTACCTGTATAAATAAGTTTCTCTTTATGTATATTATATTTTCATAATCTTAAAAGTTGCTCATTTATTTTAACATTATGATGAAAACTCAGCCACACAATTATAAGGATTTTGTCAGTATGCACACCGACGTATCCTATTTTATGATAAGGCGAATGACAGGGCATCTATGAATCTAAATAGAATTATTTGCTGGTAAAGCCAAATTATGAGACTATTTTCTGGCAACTAAATATGTTGTAACGGACGTACTGTAGATGGAGATGCTGTTTATATTAATATCCAGTTGAAGGTCTTAACTTACAAACATGCACTTAAACTTCTGTTCAAAGCCATTCAAAGTTAAAGCCATCTGGGAGGTTATTGCTGATTTCTGGTTGTGGTCTCCTTCGGCATTCCTGGCCGCAAGGCTTCCTGTAGTGAAGACTTCGCTGTCAAACACACTCTCTCTCTTTCTCTTTTGATCCTATTGTCGACTACATTTACCCCTCTTGGCATGATTTCTCTCTGTCTTTGTCTGTCTGTCATATCATGGTGCTCCTTCCTGTCTGCCATAATCACTTCCTGTACACTACCTGTGCTCCGGCCCCATTCTGGCTCCTCTGCTGACCTTTAGTCAACGGAAGTAAGTCAACCCATCCAAACAGTCATCTTTTCTCCATGTCAGAGTTTGCTGTGACCCCACTCCTCTTTCTACTCTGAACCTCGGGGTTTTGAAGTGCTTTTGATGCATGTTGAGTATAATAAAGATAGAGCAATTCTTTATAATATAAAAAGTGAACTGTATGACCTTAAGAATGTGTTTTGGGGTTGTTTTCGATTATCATTCATATTTTAGGACTACAGTATTTTGACTCATACCTAGCTTTGGTGACCAGTGATGTGATTAATGGACTCCTTGTCTAGGTATATTTTTGAGCATAAAGGCACACAAAGGATAATGGTCATCAACAACTGCTCCGTGAATGACGATGCAGCTTATTCCGTAGCTGCAGGAGACGAGAAATGTGCTACAGAGCTGTTTGTGAAAGGTATCTCGATTTAACTGTTGACCTTTATTTAAATGATAAACAACTATTTATGACAAAGATGATTTGTTACTGTAGTTCAGCTTCTTCTCTCCCTCTTGTCTTGCAGAGTTGCCAGTTAAGATTGTCAAAGGTGTTGAGCCTGTGAAGACCACGGTTAATGAGAGGATCGAGCTGGAGTGTGAAGTGTCAGAGGAGGGGGCTCAAGTCAAATGGTAAGACTTTAAAGACTCAAAAACCTGCAAGAAAGCAAAATTTGATATCTTCCTAACGCACTCTCTTTCCACCTGCAAAATGCATTTTCACTTTGTGTCACTTAGTCAGGAGACAATGACGAAAACGATATGAAAAGATAAGAAAAGAAGAGATGGTACAATAGAATCTGGATGATATGAAACAATTGGATGGGATAAATAACGATACTGTAATATGTGACATAATACCATATGAAAAGAGGATGTGATCAAATACAATATTACTCTACAATACAGACAATATATTATGGCAGGGTATCATACGATCCAGACAAAATAATACAATATGAAATATATCAAGGCCACCTAAGAAAAGAACCAATAAAATACTTATGATAAGGTACAATACGATGGTCCTTTATGAGTCCAGCAGCAGGGAAATGTTCATGCTTATTAATGTATCAAGGTAACAATTGATGTAATTGATGTAACAATGATATACTTGAGTCTATGTTTAGCTGTTGATAGCCCATTAACACCAATAAAACGTTGCATTTCAAATGTTTTTTACTCCTTTAGGATGAAGAACGGTGTTGAGGTTCCAACAGGAGTGCGCTCCAGATACCGAGTTAAGAGTGAAGGAACAAAACACTTCTTGGTAATTGATGATGCCTCCAAGGAGGACACTGGGACGTACTCCATCATGGCTTCTGGTGGCACATCTGAGGCTCATGTACAGGTTGACTGTATGTATCGTTCCTGTCTTTTCTCATTATTTCTGCTAGTTTAGGTGCTTTTCAAAAGAATCACTGTTAATTGTTCTACACTGGTCTATACCCTTTCCTAACTCGAAATTAGTGAAACCATTGAAGATCTACCAGGACCTACAGGATATGAAAGTGATGCTGGGCCAACCCCTGAAGCTGCACTGTGAGATTTACCCAGGCAATGTCCCAGGTCGTTGGTACAGGAATGGACAGCTGATCCAGCCCAACGACCGCATCACAATCATACACAGAAATAAGTATGCAACTCCTCTCAAGCTTAAGTTCTTCAGAACCAACTTCACAGGTGCTAACTAGCGTCATATTGATTTTTCAGGGTCCATCGTCTTGAAATTGAATCCAGCTCCCTTCATGATGCAGGAGATTACACTTTTGTACCTGAGGGATATTCACAGAGCCTCTCAGCAAAAATCCACATCATTGGTACACAATTGATGCTTTAATTTATTAAACAATTTAGACAACATGTAGAATTTCTTAAGTAATCTGATTGAACTTTCTGCAGACCCACCAAGAGTGCACTTGGATAGTTTGAACTTCCCGGACAACACGGTCACCATAGTGGCAGGAAACAAACTACGCTTGGAGATCCCCATCAGTGGAGAGCCAGCACCTAGGGTTGTGTGGATGAAGGGAGAACGGGTGAGCTTCAAATCTTTTAAAAGATTAGTAATGGCAAAAGAGTCCAAAAACACATACCTTCTCACTTCCCTTTTCTGTTTCAGGCTCTCAGGCCAAAGCCCACTGTTTTATTTAGTTAAGACAAAAATCATTGGTCATCTTTAAACATTGGTCACATGTATGCAATGTTGGTTAAAAAAAGGCTAAACTATGTCTTAAACAGCTGGGCACTGACTGTTTATCCACTGTTGCTCAAACAGGATTAAACTGTCCATTTGTTGGGGACTATTTTCAGCTTCGGATTATGCGCATTTGGTGCTCCATTGAGTATTGCTTATAGTACAACACTGTGGCTCATTCATGCTATATGGCAGACAATAATGTTTTTTTAAGAAATAAATTGTGTTTTAGTTTTCCTGTGACAATCAGAAAATATTTTGGTCATGTTTAAGCCATGAATCCTATTTTTTCACCCTGTTTGCCATAGGTAATTCTTGAGTCTGGCCATCGAGTCCGAGCTGAAACCTACGGTGACCAGACGAGCCTGACAATTGACATCACAGAGCGGGAGGACTCGGGTAACTACAAGATAGTCCTGCAAAATGAGGCTGGTGAGGCCACAGCCAGTGTCAAAATCAAGGTTGTTGGTAAGTGATCACAAAACACAACAAAAGAACACACTGTAATCTGTTTATAGAATAACAAACATGGTTGTTTTCTGTTGTTTACAGACATCCCTGACCCTCCAGAGGCTCCACTGGTCCCAGTGGTGGGTGGAGATTGGTGCTCTATGACATGGGAAGCACCAAAATATGATGGAGGTTCACCAATATTAGGTTACTTCATTGAAAGAAAGAAGAAACAAAGCTCCAGATGGATGAGACTGAACTTTGACCTGATAAAAGAAACATCATTCGAACCCAAGAAGATGATTGAAGGAGTTCCATATGAAGTGCGGATCTTTGCAGTCAATGCCATTGGTGTGTCCAAGCCCAGTGAACCATCCAAAGCCTTTACTCCCCTCGGTGAGTAGCCCAAGAATCTCCATGAGCAGCCACCGACCTGGCCTGTGAACTGTTACTGCCAATACTGTTCAGGAAATCTTTAACAAAGCTTCAGTTTATCAAACAACAACAATAGCGCAGGATATTTCTAAGAATTGACCTCTGATAGTGCGTGTGTGATCTGCCCTTGGTACCCCGGCGACACAGCTGTTCCTCCCTAGACCCCACCATCCCAAGCATTCTGACTCTGACCTCCACTAGACACGCAAGAGCTTTAGAGGATATTAAATATGTCTTTATAATGGCTGCCAAATCATCTGCGGATTAGAGGTTTAGGAGAGCAGGTCTGTCAGAGGGTTCAATAGGAGTAAGATATGATTCAGAATACAAGAATAGAAGGCGGGAGCAGGGCCTAATGAGATCTGAAATGGAGATTGATAGCATACCAGTCAGAGAATGAGGCGCCTTGCTCCCATGTTCCTGGCTTGCCAAAATGGATGTTTTCCGCTGTGGTTCATACTCCTTGTTGAGAACAATTGAGTAATGATGACACTACTGATATCTAAAACCTTTATCCCCACTCAGCTGTGACCAGTGAGCCCACCATGCTGGTAGTTGACGATGTCACTGACAACACTGTGACTGTAAAGTGGCGTCCTCCAGAAACCATCGGAGCAGCCGGTCTGGATGGATACTTGGTGGAGTACTGCATAGAGGGAGGTGAGACAATCCCAAATCTTCAAAGCATTGTTACCCAACCTGGGGCCTGTATGTTTGACTAGTGTGGGAGCGCCGTACCGGTACACTGCCTTGGCCCTGGCACGGTTGGAAGAGGGGGGCTTCAGCACAGTACAAACAGTGTCTCTACAAACATACGAATTAAAATGAGTTCATGTTGCCAGGCTTACATTTCACAAGTTGTAACCACTTGAATAATTAAATCCTACAGTCTGAAAAAGATTGTGACAAAGATTTTTAAAGCCCATTCCAAACATTTTAAAATCCAAGTCCAATGAACCTCTAAGATTTATGTCCACAAACATTTTATTTGGACAAGAAACAGACAATGAACATACATTTCATTTAACTAGGTACAAATTCATTGGAGGGTGTTTTTCCCCAACAGCTAATGATTGGGTAGTATCCAACAAGGAGCTGACAGAGAAGACCAAGTACACCATCACTGGGCTGACTCCAGGGTCTAAAATTTTAGTTCGAGTTAGAGCCATCAACGCTGCTGGACCCAGCCCTCCACGGACCCTTCAGCACGCCATCTTGGTCAAAGAAGTTATTGGTGAGCTCTAAAAAAATACTGCTAGGATTCTCTTACTGTATTCAACTGTTCTTATCATTCTATGAAGCTTTTATGGTTTCTTTGAAGTTGACCATTTACAAGGAAAAAACGATGCAAAAATGTACTATTAGATATTTCTCACAAACACATCTTGCATTCTATCTCCTCCTCAGAACCACCCAAGATCCGAGTCCCCCGACACTTGAAGCAGACATACACTCGAAGAGTTGGTGAAGCTGTGAACCTTGTAGTGCCATTCATGGTAAAGCAGTCTCTGAATCTATGCTGAATATCTACTGCGTCTCTGAGCAGAATATTAAACTCTTTGGTGATGTATGCAGGGCAAACCCAGGCCGAAGGTCACCTGGCTGAAAGAGGGCAAGCCCATCGAGCCTACACACGTCAGTATCCGCAACACAGACTGTGACAGCATCATCTTCATTCGTAAAGCCGAACGAAGCCACTCTGGAAAGTACGAGATGACTGTGCAGGTTGAGAACCATGTGGACACAGCCATTATTGACATACAGATTGTAGGTAAGTGAATAGATTATGCTTTCTCAGGGTATCTGTACCTGATATTCTCAAGTTAAAAGTCTTAAATATGTTGCAGTCTTTGGACTTATTGGCTCGTCCTTAGTGTGTTGCAAACTAGCTACAAACCTACAAAGCATCCCCTTAATACTTTACTTGCGTTATTGCTACTTCTAAGTCTTGAAACGATAATAAGACCGAATTGTCTACTCAAGATCTGTTTTCTGTGTGTTAGACCTACCTGGGCCTCCTCAGTGTGTGACGATTGAAGATGTCTGGGGAGGTAACGTGGCTCTGGTCTGGACTCCTCCAAAAGACAACGGCAACGCCCCAATTACAGGCTACACCATTCAAAAAGCAGACAAAAAGACAATGGTAAAAGATCAGCTAAACAAATGACAAACAAGGAAGTTGGCAAATGATGCATTTACACACTTTGATTTGCTTTATAGGAATGGTTCACATGCATCGAGCAGTACCATCGCACCTGCATCACCATCACAGAGCTGGTAGTAGGGAACGAGTACTTCTTCAGGATTTACTCAGAGAACATGTGTGGCTTAAGTGAAGCCGCCACCGTAACCAAAAAGAGTGCCCTTATCGTCAAAGAAGGTAACCCTGACTGGTCTGTAACAGCGTGAATGTTTGATGTAGCTGTTATCAGTTCTGATGAGGGAAAATGTTTCCAAAGTGAAAACTTTGGAACAAATCACACAGATTTCACAAGTTGAAAATGTCGATTAAGTTCACGTTTCATTTTACTACCATGTCTTTCACAGGTGTTATTTGAAAGGTACTGTCAGTGATGTTTTCCACCCTGAAGTGAGCCTGTATTTACAGTCTCACTTTCAAAGCTAACACGGGTCGGGCAACGACTGACAGGCCTTGAACAGTGGTGTCGTATACTCAGCCGTTGATAAACCAAAGCACATTGTCTTTCCCTCATCACATAGGGATTTCCCCACATGATACCGCTCAGCACCAGTATCATGCACAACCCCATTCCTTTACCCTTCCCCCCACAGGCATGCAGTTGAAAACACATGAGTTTAACGACCGAGACTTCAAGGAGGCGCCAAAATTCACCCAGCCGCTGATCAACACTTTTGCCATTGCCGGCTACAATGCTACACTCAATTGTAGCGTCCGTGCCAACCCAAGGGTAGGTAGGGGGACACCAGGTAATAGTAAAGATTACTCATTAAACAATGCAGGTAAATATACATGTTGACGAGCTTGCACTTTCATGCACCAATTCTCTTCCTTGTGTTCCAAAATAACAGTTTAAAGACTGCTTTTTATAAAGTTTAAAGCTTAGAGACTAATGTCTTGGTTCAATAATGATCAAATATAACTAAGAATAGGAAGTGAATTAGAATCAAATAATTAAATATTTGGCTGAAAGTGGTTCAGCCATTGGTGTTTTATGCCCTAATTTGGAATATCTACATATCAAACCAGTTATCCCGTTGAGTAATCATTACTGATAGAATTTCTGGTCAAAAGTATGAATTATGATCCAAGATGCATTAGTTTCAAAGAATGCTTGAAAGGTGTTGACTCCAATAAAATAACTAAGAGGGCGTCCCCCCTGCTGGATTATGATCATCATGCAATTTGACGTATCTGTTGTCTGACCACAGCCCAAGGTGATCTGGATGAAGAATAAGATAACCATCCTTGACGACCCGCGCTACCGTATGTTTAGCAACCAGGGAGTATGTACTCTGGAGATCAGGAAGCCCAGCCCCTATGATGGCGGCATGTACACCTGTAAGGCCATCAATGACCTGGGAGAGGCCCAAGTGGACTGCAAGCTGGAAGTCAAAGGTCAGTGTGGAACAGAAGGCAAGCTATATGACTGTATCTGGTTTCCCAAAGCCACTGTAGTTTTTTTTCTCTCTCAATTTCTTGCTTCTTAGAAGTGTTTCTGCTGAAAGATTAAAAAAAATAGAGAAAAAGGCAAAGTAGACTTGGGGAAACCAACTTTTCTGAGGGTTACTGTTGTGTTTGAACTGTGCTACGGTCTACTGAAGGGCTGGCCACATAGGCGGTGGACAAGTAAGTATATGGTTAAGTTTCACCAGCTGTTCATAAATTGACAACTAGCTTATATCTGATGACTTACCAAACTGAGTTATCTAAGAAATATTAGAAATTTAACAATCGGTTACTAAGAATAATCTATAGTCCTTACCAAGCATAAATAATATAACAAGTTACTGTAGCATCATGAGCTGGAAAAGCCTCTAACTGCTTAAAATAACAGCTAAACATTTACATTAAAATTACTTTAGAAACATAAGTACATTTGTGTTTAAATGTCTTTATATCTAACAACACACAATGAAAATGTGTGTCAGGATAAATTGTATAGTTTTCTTAAAAGTTGAAGGGTGTGATATCAGATCATGCTGATTTGTTAAAAACGATGTGGAAAAAAGCATGGGTGGTTTAACACTTATTTGAGCAATGTTTTGATACTGTCTTGTTTTTTCAAAATTGGCTAAATTGGATTTATTAACAGCTGGTGCAAACGTAAACCATTTTAAGAAAATAGATGAAGAGAAATAGTGACATAATAATCTGTTCATTTGTGTGTGGTGCACATAATATCTGGTGACAATTTTCCATTACCACCACATGTAAAGTTTTATCCCCCCATGTTCAAGCCATCCTGTTCATCATCACAACACGCCACCTCGACACACAGTCTTAACTTTCAGAGCTGTGTTGTTTTTGTGTCGTCTGAAACTGTTTTACACAGATTCCAGTGTCCCCTTAATGCCCCACAGTTAACTCCTCATATAAAAGAGTTCAGTAATATCTCAACTGTATTCCCTGGTACACACATATAACTCCATGTAAACATTTTGTTTACCCCTCTTCTCTTCTCTCTCCCCCAGTCCAAACTCAAGAATTGTGAATGTATGTTCTCATCTAAGGTAAGCTTTCATATGGTTTTGACATATGAAGCTTATGTCATTCATTATGCATTTTTCAGCCAGCTTGTAACCTCGCTTTCTCAATCAGAAGTTGGCTTTTCTTACTTAGACCCAGAGAACAAATTTGGGAAATCTGGCATTATTAAAACAAGGCTGGCATGACAGCTTCTGCCCAAATTATTCCTCAGTTCTGCTCAGCTGGCTGAATTAAATAATCCTGTGTTGGATGTTGTTTTTGACTGCCACAATGTTTGGTATGGTGTGAATTCAAAGCCTACCTCTCATGTAGTTTGTGCCGCAGATAAGGTAAGTAAAACGTTTCGCAAACTTCCTAACCTTTGCTGAGAAATCCAGAGCAGCACTCCTGGAGCCTGGGAGCTGAGTGTTATTCTATGTTAAAATGACATCTGCAAAGCCTTTTTTAATGCTGATGTTAAAAAAAATGTAAAGCAGCCAAGCAAAGTGAACTAACACTGAATGTTTCCATGTTGTGTTTGGAGCTCAGGTTTGTGGTGTGAATGTAAAATTGAGAAAGCACAGTATCCTCATGTATCCTGATCCTGATTAGCTGACTGTTTTGGGAAAATGTAATCAAGTAAATCTTTTCTCATCATGCGAATGGCCGGGGAAACACTGCAATATAGTGAATAAAACTCTAAATGATTTCACTTTGCAAAATGTGTTTTGATAGTTCAAGTACATTTACTTCTTTTAAGTGAAATTTCAAACGCATGGCTGAATGCTTATTTCACAACTGTTAGCATCTTGAGGATGACTGGGCAGTCGTTTGCTTAATTAATCTTGGGTTTGTGATCAATGTTTTAGACCTGCATTGTAATCAGTGGAACCTCTGCTTCTGCAAGCTTGAGCAGATTTAGATACAAACTCTTCTTCTTCTTCTCTCCTCACGGCCTCTTGTCTTTGTATTCTCTTTGTACAAATGATCTCCCTCTTGCTCTGTATCTCCCCTGCTCTTCTTACTCTCTCCACATCTGCCTCTGCTTCTCCCAACAATATTATGATAAGAGTTTTTTTTTCTCTTGCCCCTTAGGAGGCTTCACCTTTTATGAACTCATGCAACGCGGAGTGCCCCTCCACCTGATTGACAAGTACATGAACGAGCATAAGATTGTCGAGCAGGAGAAGTAAAATTGGACAGAACGCAATGAGACACTTTAGTTTTGCAGACATCTGATGCCACGAGTGACCTTTTTCTGTCACCTACGGAGGTTGCCGGCCTGAAGACGGATGGGGGGGGTGGGGGGGTGGCGGGAAGGGTTGTGCTGCTCCGTGGTGCGGCATGCTGTGTGCAGTTTTAGAGCTAGCTACCAAAAAAAAAAAAATCCTCTTCTTTGTCACCCACTTGTGTTTTAAAGACTGTTTCAGTGTTTTGGTTCTGTCTTTACTGAGTACATGTAGTATTTAAAAAAAAAAAAAAAAACATATAACAGTGACACACGTACAGTATTTACATGTTCATAGTTGGGGCTGTCTGTTAAAAGTGATGTTTTATTTCTGGGTTATAAAAGAGAAAAAGGGAATGTATAAACTAAAGTTTGGTGTTTGTAAGGTGTGTAAGAACTTATTAATGGCAAGAAAAGGGAAACAAGCACAGATATATGTTGGATAAGTGAATGTGTAAAACCCTTCAAAGATAATTCACATTAACATTTGTTCATTTCGACAGTTTTTCTGTGAAGGTATTCAGTGAGGGATGTAGATTGTAGAGCATGACAAACTAAGCTTTTTGGATTCATGTTGGACTTGAAGTTTCATAAATCATGCGCATGCCTTAGTAAACATCACCCATGAACAATAAAATTAATGTAAAAAAAAATTGCACTCTATGTTGTCGTCAGTACTCTTTGTTTGTGATGTATTATTGAATAGGTGTGAAAGCGTTATTAAAGCATGGACAATTACAATTCACCTGTGCTACTATATTGGACTGACAAAGAATTAACTCTTTAATTGATGGGTCTCTATGTTTTTACAAGACATGGTACTATAACTAATTAATTAAAATATATTTTATTTAATTCAGCCAAACCTGAACCCTAAAGTGCACTCAAGCAAATATTCAAATTAGTGTTGATACATATATTTTATGAGTGTTGTTTATCTGCTTTTGCAAATTAACTTATTTCATCCTTTTCTCTTTAGGTGGTAGTTAACGTAAAACAAATAAATGCATATTATGGGTAATATCTGGACAAAGATTTGGCAAATTTGAGGTTACATTATTAAATACATTTAGAATTGAAAAACTTTATTCCGCCAAGAGGCAGTTTTCGAGGTTTCGAGGCAACACTGAGACATTGTTATTAGGACATTAGTTACAGAAAATATATCCATACTTTGAACTACCTTTAAACCAATCAAGAGAAAAATATTGTGAACATTTTAAAATGACAGGAGGTGACAAATTTTGAGAGAATTTCAGGGTGGGTGGGGGGACTCACGACGTCCACCGTATTTCTTTCTACGTCCCTGAACGCATCATTATTCAACTTAACAATACCAACAAGACATGATGAGCTAAGTTGAGACAAAAATGTTTAATTAAGTACTTACTGTCATTCAAATGCAATGGAACTCTTTAGAGATATTTGCTCCTCATACCTAGCTTTTGGTTTAATTTAATATTTAATATATTTATTTATTTATTTAATATATATATATTTTATTATTTAATTATTATTATTTTATTTTTTTAATATATTTTTTTAATTTAATATATATTTTTTTAATTTAATATTTAATATATATTTTTTAATTTTATATTTAATTATTATTTTTTATTTTATATTTAATATTTTCACGTACACAAACATAATTTATTTTAAATTACGATCTTGTGACTGCCACATTGTAACTACTGTGGTTGATATACTTTAAAACATCAAACTGTGGTTTAAAAATAACATAGCTTGTCGTCGTCAGGTTGTTTACATTTTCTTTGTTGGTTTAGGTTTAAACATCCCGGTCCACCGCTTTATGATTCCCTTTCCGGTTCCGTCACTTCCGGCCGACACGCTGAACTCGATCAGAAACGTACAGACTATCGACAACTCATGGTTCCGCTGTGAAAATGGCAGCTAGTCACCTAGCTGTAAATGCCAAATGAGCAGCTATCTTTCGGAGTCGGCGGAGAGAAGATAGCCCGGATTTGAAGCACCACCTGCGGTCATTGAGAAGTTTGTGACGGGGGATTTTGTTTTGAAGGGTGACGAGGCAGAAACACGATGCCACATTTCCTGTGGCCGGAGCCGCTGTCACCCGCTCAGCTGAAGCGGCTGGAGGAGCATAAATACAGCGCCGCTGGTCGGTCCCTGTTCGAGCCGCCGTGTCAGGTCTACTGGAACTGGCTCATCCAGCAAATCCCGACATGGGTCGCACCAAACACCCTGACCATTGTGGGACTGCTGGTCAACATACTCTCCACGATGGTGCTTGTGTATTATTGTCCCACGGCCACGGAGGAGGTGAGTAAAGCGACCTTGGCCAAAAGTTACGACCCCCCCCTGGAAAGAACGCGAAACCCCATTCACAAATTGCGGTAGTTTTAAGTTGCGTTGCCACCTTGTGTTTGACACAACACAAAAAGCTATTTTATTTTACATTTTCTGAAGCCACAAAAGCCACACATGAATTCGTCTTACAATTTACACATCTCAGTTGCTCACGTTTGAAGATAGTTTCTTTTTTATTATTGAAGCTAACACGTATGGCGGGGTATTTTGGGACATGTTTAGAGGGGGCAACATGTGACGTATCCGCCCTGAAAGTTAACCTTTTATTGAAGTATTTACTAAATTATGCAAAATAGTATATGCCGAATTAATGACTAATTCATGCAGATTCTGTAAATATAAGAAGTAACAAGGTGGCATGTTTGCACACCTCAGTTGCCGTTATATTGAATAGTTTCTGCTTATAACATGTTTACACTCATGCACTTTAACTTATGTCAATACTGTCCATTTACAACTCTGTTTTTGCACATTTACACTTAATCTTCCTATTTAAGTCTAGTAATGCTAAGTTAAATCCTAGTTGTATATATTCCCATTCTTAGTTTTTTATTTTTAGTGCTTATTTACTTTGTATTTAATATTATATTGTGTTTAGATTTGCTAATATTGTGTTTTTTTTACTAATAGTGTGTGTTTGATAACCTGCTGCTGTAACACCACAATTTCCCAGTTTGGGATCAATAAAGTAATTCTACTATATTCTATTTTTTAGGACAGCTAAAATAGTCAGATCTTTAATCTGACAAGGTGTTACGTCGCTCACCTGTCCTTTGTCAGTGTGGTCTTTTCGTTTGTGTTCATGGAAAGGTGACAACTTTGCCGTGTTGTTGTGTGGCCAGGCGGTGTTTGAAGGGGAAACATGTTTGGTATTCTTGTTGAGAAATGGCTTCAAAACAAGCTGTAATGTAACCGACGTGCTACAGATTCCTAAAACCTTGCCCTACAGTACACCACTGAAATCAACAGCTGGCCTTTGCTCCACTGAATTTGTGTCACCAGGTTCGCTGTTGATCTAGCAGGAAATGCATAGGTGCGTGTGTTTATCAGAGTTACACCTTTGTCCACCGCAGCTATCAGAGCCTTGCAGCTCGGTCCACAGTCTGAGCAGTCATGCTGTTACTGTCAAATTCCACATGAGCAAAGGCCTTTTAGTTTCCCCCATTAATTATTTAGTATGAAATAATGGAAAACTTGGCCTTTGTCCAATCTTGTTCATGGACTGTTTTAAAGTCTCACACATTTGCAAACGAACACATTAGGAAAGGAATTCATGCAACCTCCAATCTGACCTGTCTGATAACCCTGAACAAGCGAACTCTGTCCCCACCAGTCCATGAGGCGTTAAGGACAGCAGGGTATTTAGGACAGCATGGGATTCTTGATCCTTCTGGAAACACAAGACAATCTTTGTCTGTCAAGAACACACACACACACACACATTGTAGTGGTTAAAAACACAGCGTTGGCTAGCTCCAGTGTCCAGATGGTCTATAACCTCCAACCTAGTAAGAGGAACTGAGTCACTCGAGTCAGCAGGATTCCCTTCTTCTCCTTGCTTGCAGCACACAGAAATACATGCGACCAGGGACGGCTGACACAGAGGGGTTACAATGCTAAGGCCTCTTCTTGTACGATAAAGATTAGAATATTATTCTTCAAATAAATAACGACAGATTGTTTGACATTTTTGGGAGACACTTAAGAGAAGCAGCCAAACAAAATCATGAAATCCGCTCACTTCCAGAGTGTAAGTGAGTTACAGGTGTGATGGCACGCCTTCTTGATTTGCTGGTCATTTGGACTGAATTCATTCAGACCACAGGCTACTGACCTTTGACCCATGACACAACTGTAGAGTTGCTAAGAAACTAACTTGAAAAACAGGAATTGTACTTAACACTTAAAATAGATAGCTTCTTAAGATTAAAATTAAAGCGACCATGCTAACTCTGTTACCCTTGTAAAGGTGATTTCCACTATGTGTTAGCACTAAGTTAACCATAATGCACCAGCCGCCACTGCACAGTGTATGATGTTACAAATTACAACAGAAACACATACTTTTTTTAAACTTCTGTACACACATCAACCTCTGCATTTTGATCAAAACATCAATTAATATTTGCTTAAAAAAAAAAGATATGTGAAAAAAATTGTAAGCAAAGAAATAAATGTAAAATAAGAGGTCTAATTCATGTGTATACCTGAAGTAGTGAAATGCTGCAGTGGAGTATTTGTGTGAAACAGGTACTGTGGGTTTGCATACAGGGCATGTTACAACGAGTTCATTCTAACTATGTCGCTTCATGTGTTGAAGAAGGTCTGAGGATCCTGAGACTCGCTCTTTGTTTCTTCATTCATCAAGTCCAACATACACTTCCCCCTTACTTATATGTAAAAGCTTTAAAGTACCCACACTACCCTTCATATTATACTAAAATATGACTCAAACATCAAGACTGGGGCTGATGTTTTTTTCTTTTGGTTGCCTCATTGATTTATCCAACATTAGTTTCAGCTTCAATGTTTTGTGCTTCCATAAAGTACGCGGCTGCAGTCCATATTGTGAGATGGGATCCCTAAATAAACTCTTTCTCCTTACCCTGCAGGCTCCATCATGGGCCTTCGTCATGAGCGCCCTGGGCCTCTTCACCTACCAGTCTCTGGACGCCATCGATGGGAAGCAGGCGAGGCGGACAAACAGCAGCTCTCCGCTCGGGGAGCTCTTTGATCACGGCTGCGATGCCGTCTCCACAGGTGACTTTCCTGCACATTAAACACAAATGAGTGTTCTCCTCTAATTTGAAATATTCTGACTCATTCGTGATTTTTTTTTTTTTCTCCATCTGTTTATCTTCAGTCTTTGTCGCTGTGGGAACATGCATTTCATGTGGAATAGGAAGATACTCAAACTGGATGTTCTTCTGCGGCTTTATCGGTATGTTTATGTTCTTCTGCGCTCACTGGCAGACCTACGTGTCTGGGACGCTCCGCTTTGGGCTGTAAGTCACATGTTCCTCTAGCTTATAATACAACCCGAAGTCCTACAAAGTTGGGAAGTTGTGTCAAATGTTAAATAATAAAAAAACAGAATGTGAGGATTTGTAAAAACATTGAAACATGTTGCCAGAATCAAATTGGGCTTTAATTTACAAAAACAAATTCACTTTTTGAGATTCAGTATTTGTCTTTGTGCTATTTTCAATCAGATGTGGGGTTCCAGGGGAGCCCCACATGTACAGAGGTTTTAGTCTCTGTCTCTCAAAGGCCAAAAAAAAAAAAAAAAAATCTTTAAAAGGGAAGGGGAAGGGTTTAAATGTTTTAAACAACGTCCCAGCTTTTTAGGAATTCCGGGTTGTAACACTGATGATGTTAATGTTCATTACTTTAAGGATCATCTCACTCTTTGCTCTGCTCGTTCTCTCAGGATTGACGTGACAGAGGTGCAGTTGGCCATCATGATCATGTATATGATGACGGCTTTCGGGGGCGTTAGCCTCTGGCAAACGACGGTAACTGACCACTGAATATTTAAAAAGACACCAAACCAACACAGAAAACCTCTCATTTCACCTCGAGTGTATATTCCCCCTATTTTATTCATTTTTTTGACACCTAATTAGCTCGTCCCTTTTTAGTCGTCCTTGTAGTCTTTAAATAGACTTTGTGTTTTACTTTGACTCTGTGCTGCCTTTGGAGGCTTCACTTAACATCACATGAGAGAAGATAGAAGGTAAATATGGATAGCTAACGCCATGGCAACAGGTCATCTATTGGACATGATCTGGCTCAAAAAGCTGATGTCATGCACATTTCTTTTTTTTTTTTTTATGCTTTGCCCTCCCATCACGCTCGGCATGCCTGCAGCTTCACTGTTTCTATCAACTTCTCCACGAGGGGGAGTGCTGCGCGCCTCATCACTAAATTTGACCTTCCCGTGTTTCTGTAGTTGCCCCTCATTGGACTGAAGATGTACGCCTTCCCCATCATGGGCATCATTGGAGGGGCGCTCTTCTCCTGCTACAACTACTTCCATGTGATCCTGAACGGCGGCGTCGGTAAAAACGGCTCCACTGTGGCAGTAAGTTCACTCACGTCTGAGGATGGCTGTGTTGAATCAGCTTTACGGTGAGTATCGTGTAATAAAGCATGCTCACTGACATCCTCTCTGCGTAGGACACCAGCGTGTTGAGTCCTGGTCTGCACATCGGCCTCATCCTCACCCTGGCCTTCATCATTTTCAAGAAGTCCTCCAGCCACCTGTTCGAGCACCACCCCTGCCTGTACCTGCTCGCCTTTGGCATGGTCATCTCCAAGATCTCCAACAAGCTGGTGGTGCGTTCAAGGATTCCTCTCCTCCGCCTCCGTTCAGATCTAGTTCACATGAAAAGACGTGTGTGAGGGAGGGGTTCAGGAGTACATGATCAAAGACTTGTGAGAAAAGCTACTTGGGTGTGATTCTGTTTACATGGCAACCAAAAAAAAACATTAGTTTTTGTGGACGCCCTACCTAGTATCAAAAGCGAGGTGCGGATGCATAAAATCAGGATTGTAACTTGAATCAAACTACATGAGTTGTCATGACTACGCTCGTATTGTTGCATCTGTGTGAACTTATTTGAACCCCTTCCTGAATCAGATATTTTGTGATCCATGTTTCCTCCCCGTCGTGTCTCCTTGATCTTTCTTAAGGTCGCACACATGACAAAGAGTGAGCTGCACCTCCCTGACACAGCCTTCATAGGCCCGGGCCTCCTCTTCCTCAACCAGTACTTCAACAGCTTCATCGATGAGCACATAGTGCTCTGGATCGCCATGGTGAGTAATTCACCCAGTTTTAAAAAGAAGACCTGTTTCCTGGTTCTTCTTCTTTTTTTAAAGAGATACGATTACATTTCCAACCCTAGACGAATGGATTTAAGAATATCATGTTCAATATTTAGCTGTAAGGTTCAGGATATTTTAGCCCGGCGTGCATGTCTTTGAGAGAAGCTGCAGTGTTACATAAACTGTACATCGATTCCCCATGCAGCTGCACCCATGACTCAAGCGCACACAAACACAAGCGAAAAGTTTCTCTAAAGCTGTTTAAAAAAGTGCAGTCCAACCAGAAGAACCAAAAAAAAAAATACCCATTTCACAATACTCATCTTGAGAGAGAGCTGTGCAGTAGATGACTTCAAAAAAGGTGTGGAGGGAGGGAAAACCCTGCAGGACAGGTGAGCCTGGATGACTCACAGGTGACTCTGTCGAGTGTCGTAACAAACAGACGCAGAGGATTTCAAGTCTGGGGCTGCGACTTCTGCTGGTTTTCACTTTCACCGTCTAATCAGGGACTCGTCCTGTAGTACAAGGTTCAGAAGAGTCCGTTGAAATGACCCTCTAATAAATCTGACCATAAAAAACCGTTCAGTAATTACACACCTTATGGCAACCCTCTACTAAAGATATGACAGTGAAAGCACTCGCTCACGTACTGAAAGTGACCGCTCACCCTGCGTGCACTGCATGTGACCTCAGTAAAAACTATTTATTTTCATATTTCAACTTTTACTTCAATAAAATTGATAAGAAAGATTGTTTTTTTTAGTCTTTTTTTAGCCCTGTTTCCAGTGAAATAAACAACAAAACACAAAGCAGTTCATATCTGGTAATTACATCCACCCTCTTGCTTCTGATTGGTTGTTTTGGGCCTGGTTCCAAACGACACCAAAGGCCCAGTACCGGTCTGAGCCCCGGTGGTCTGAGATCCCCTGACCTAAAGCAACAGCAGGAGCCTGGCCCCTTTAATGGCCTCCTAATGATCCTCTCCATCTCTCTCAGGTCATCTCCCTCGTGGATCTTGCACGCTACTGCTCGGGCGTGTGCCTCCAGATCGCCTCACACTTACGCATACGAGTCTTCAGCATCACGCCGCAGCCGCCGAGCCACGCCCACCGAGACTGACGGCCTGCCCGGCGGGAGGAGGCGGGGGGGGACGCGGATCTCTCCCCGCTCCTGAAAGCAGACGACGTAGACGAGGACCGACCCTCGACCCTGAGCCACTGCAGCCTCGACAAAGTGACCACTTCGGAATGAAAACTGCCTCTCCCCACCAGATGGAAAAAAAAAACAACAACGTGAACCTACAAAGTAACCAAAAAAACAAAAAAAAAAGGAATGGAAAAAGCATGGATCTATTAAGAGTTATCGAGGGCTTCCCGAGTTGGAACCACTTCTTAATTTTAGCTTCCAGTTTAATGCATAATGTCAGAAAATAAAGATTTAACACGATCATGCTTTTTTCAACTCAGATACCAAAATCTTATTCTGAACAGGTTCTAAACAGCTCGGGCAGATAGCGGAGACGTTTGTGAAACCCGTGTGACGATCGTTTATTTACATCTCTGATACCTGCCTGACCTGAAGGAGAACCTGTGAGGAGTTAACTCAATCTTTTGTTGTATTTATGAAATGAATGTGACTAAAAATCTGACAAGAATCAGGGCTTAAAAACGAAAACAAAGAATCAGATTTTAAACCTCTAAAACCTCGTGATTTCCAATGAAGTGTTCGATGTGGGCTGGCAGGGTGTTCATGGCGCCGTGCAGGGTGTGACGGTCTGTGTTAGTGCTGAAACCAACGACGACATCGTTTTTATAAGGCTTCTCTTACATCCATTCATCTCTCTATGAATCTTTTTTTTTTTTAATTCTATGTCGACTCATCTCATCCTACAGTCCTGGAAATAAACAAAAACAAACGGGTGGCCTTTGGAGCGCCGTCGACTGATGAAGCATTAACACACGACTCGTTCTGCTTTCTTCTCTTCTTCTCCCTGAAGGGCTACATGTTAATTATTTTGTGATTGTACAGAGTTCAACTGAAGACGCCTTAAATATTTTTTTGTTGTAATTACTGTTAAACTTGTGAATATTTAAAAACGGCTTTGTATGTTTTTGTTTTTCCACTGAAGTATCACACCACGCACAGCAAGTAAAAATACACACTACATTTTTTAAATTTTTTTTTTTAACTGTTCACTCATGAAGGTACTTTACTGATAAGACGAACATCTAATGTAAAAGTGAGATGATTTAACCAGGAAATATGTTTAATTATCAACATTTTATTTTAATTATAGATCATTTCTGAACAGTTTTAATCTGCTCCTCATTCAGGTTCAGTGGGATCAAAAGGGAAAACCATGTAAGGGTAAACAAAACCAATAATGTTTTTTTATTTGATCAAATGTTTGTTTGTTTTTCCTGCTCGTGCAGGACGGTGGACACGATAGAGGGGGCATGCCATTCACTGATGATTTTTTGCATAACGTACCATGGACTTTTTAAACTATGCATTGAAGAACTTTGATTTCAACACCATGTTGCACTGTACTATAACACAGAGACAAAAACACCTTTCTACTAACAGATAAGAGTGGAAATGATTGTAATAAAGAAAGTATTTTTCATGCGACTCATCGTCTCTGCCTTTTGTTTGAAGTCTGAGCGTCTGCTGAAGGAACAGTCAGAATACAGTGTCCAGACCCGAACCCTCTCAGTAACAAGTGAAACTCCTGTATTTAAAATCATTCTTTGAAAGCACGGAGCGATCAGGGAAACGAGCTTAAAGTGTCAGGAGAGAAAGTCTTTGTTTGCAGAAATATGGCCATCATTTACATGTAACACATAATGTATAGAAGATTGATTTAAGGGTTCAAGATAGGTTTCATGACGCACACCCTCATGTACGGAGGCAGTAGCTCTCAGCGCAGCGGCCGTGGGTTCAAATCCGACCTAGGCCCTTTGCTACATGTCATCCCCTCACTCTCTCCTCCTGTCTCAGCTGTCCCAACTAATAAAGGCAAAAAATATCTTTAAAAACTTAAAAATGGAGGATAGGATTCATCAGTATGAGGAAAAAAGTAGCTATAATTTTTTCTATTTTCCCTTTTGCTAAACTTAAAAGTTTTGCAAGGTCGACTGGTCAGTCACGAGCTAAAAAAAATAAATAAGATGACTCTCAAAAAGACTAAAAAACAAAAGTCATGCTGGCCACAAGACGAGTCCCATCATCTAAGGTCATCGGTTTTCCACTTGGGGCTCGGGTTAGAATATTTAATCGAGTGAAGAATCAGGATATCGATAAACACATTAAATTAGAAATCCCTTACCTGATCTTGCTTTTTAAGACGGTCCGTCTCTGCCAACCTGCTGCACCGTGGGAGAGAGAGAGATCTGATCTACATGAACAAAATGACAGAGAACAAAATTACTGAACCCAATCACATTTTATTTCAGTGAGGAGCCGTTGAACTGATGCATTCGGAGGGATTACAGATATGTGAGTCTTTATCGGGTCGCCTGCTGAGTTCACTGTGTCCACGTTGTGACCACACGGAGCGGCGGGTCTCTTCTGTTTTTATCATTATATCAAAAGAACTGTGTGAAACTGTTCAAGAGAAGAGATGTTTGAAGATGCAACACAGGCTGTGTTTACATTCTGGAGCGTTCATCTTCGGACGCATCAGTCACCAGGCTCACCGTCGAGATTAACACAATGAGAATAAGTTACACAACATGCTGAGGGCGTCTGAATTTCAGACAGTAGCGAGCCTGTTGAGTCCCACAGGGACACACGTACAGGTGGCTGTGAGAGCTGGAGCATCACGTACATGCAGCGCCAACAATCAGTTACATCAGTACCACATTGACAACGATCGTTGAGTATCCCCATTTCCCGTTCATGATTATTTTTTATCAAAAGAAAAGTTTGGCAGACAAAGAAAAAAGGAGATAAAGAAAAACAATCCAACGAGCAGGAATGAAGAACGAAGGCACTTCAAGTTCTCATGTTTTGACGACAACAGAGAAAGATACAACAGCTTTTGTAAATATCAGATTTGTCCTATATGAATTATTTCCTCCTTTGTCCTTTAAAATAAAGCAAGCGGAGTAAAAGACAACAACAAAAAGTGGGAGGGGCTGTGAGTACCAATTTCTTTGTCGACTCAAAGTACCGTTTTGTCAGTAAAAGTCAGAAAAATTCTCATCACAGTTTCCGCGCAACCAAAGTTTCCAAAGTCTTTTTCAACAGACCATCTGAAAAAAAAAATAATAATAATCAAAATCTTAACGATATAAAACAGAGAAAAGCTAAAGAAAATTATTATAATCAAGATGTTACCTTCGGCAGCCCTGAGTGGACACACATCACTACGTTTTATTGACTCACATTCCTGTGATTTTGTAACTTCTGGTTGTTTCCTCCAGAGCCGGATAACAGAGCTTCTTTTCCCCCATTATAAAGAACGAGTTCATCTCATTATTTCAGGATAAAAAAAAAGCTTGTCTTCTCGAGATGAGGGGATACTTTTCTGGCAATCTAATAAACAAAACTTGATCGATCCCTGTGATTGGCCAGATAACGATTTCTGTTTGTATAGTGCCTTTTTCAACTTCCCTCATGAGAGATAAACACGTCGAGAAAACAAGAAGTAATGACTTATATTGACAGGACAATGGAGTAAATAAAAAGCATGGATGCTTGTCTCCTTCGGGCTTCCGTAGGGGAGCAGCTGACGTTGGCATTCTTCCCTTGTAAAGTAACTACAAACTACTGGTTCATTTTCAGTAAAGTTCCAGGTGTTTCTGTCAATCCTCAACTTGATCAATCTGTTCATCGTTTGAGTTTTAAACGAGCGTTTGTTAAACTTTCTCCAGGCTTGTTGAACACTAACACACACACACACACAGACACACACACACACACATTAGGAGTCCTGACCCGCTGCTGTCAAATGTTTCACACTTTAACAGCACATCAATCAGCAGGCCTGGTGAGGGCAGGACACGAGGCGGGTGGTGCAGTGTGAGGGAGTGTTTGTTTTTCTACTGGTTAAGTGTGGCGGTCGTACAAAAGTCCCCGGCGGAGGAGAAGAAAAAGAAGATTTACAGGCTTCTTCTTTCTGGCTTTCATTCCTTTCAGCGGACAGCCACATCCATCATCTTCAGGGAAAAAAATAAAATAAAAAAAAGTTTCATCACCATCTCTCTTGAGTCTGTATCCTCCATCTGTGCTGATGCAACACCAACACCTGAGAGGGGAGGAGGGGGGGGGGTAGGGCTTCAGATTCCCGTTTCCACCCAGTCCCCCTGGTCCGAATCCTCCTCCAGGATTCTCGACTGATCAGGAGAGAAAAGGGTTGGGGAGGTGGAAGCGCAGTAAGGAGCGAAGAGAGGGTTTTTTTTCCCCCCTTCCTTCACACTCGCTCGGGGTTGCTGTCCGTGTTCACTCGGCGTCTGGGGAACAGCTTTCGTTTGAGCAGAATCAGCTGCAGGGAGAGGAGATGTCATATTTAGAAGCAGCACACAGCTAAGGGGCGGACAAAAAAAGCTTCATGATGCCTGTTGGCAAGAGGAAGACTGGGATAAAAAAAGAGTGAGGAGAGATAAGAAAATGCTGTAATGGCCATACATGTAAACACACTCAAGGAATTTGGCTGAAGGCATACAGTGTCAAATAATAAAGTAGGTTATGTAACAAATTGCTTTTTATACATGAGCCAGAGG